TGCTGTCCGGCGTGGGTCCGGCCGACCATCTGCGCGAAATGGGTATTCCTGTGGTCCATGAACTTCCCGGAGTGGGCCAGAATCTTCGCGACCATCCCATCGTCGCCGTTATATGTCAGGTGCGCGACGACCACGAGCAGGATCCCCTGGCGCCCCGTACCCAGACCGCGCTGCGTTACACCGCCACCGGCTCACCCGACCGCAACGACATGCAGATCATGGCGTCCTCCTTCTCGACGCCCATCGGCGGCGCCGATCCCTTCGAAACCGGCGGTGTGCGTATTCAATGCATCCTGGAGTTCGCCGACGGTGCCGGCGAAGTGCGCCTTTCCGCCAACGATCCTGCCGTCCAGCCCGCATTGAACTATCGCTACCTCGAGCTTGAGCGTGACCGCGAACGCCTCCGCGAGGCCGTCCGTCTCAGTGTCGACCTCCTGGAGAACGACGCCTTTGGTTCCATCGTTGACTCCATCATTCAGCCATCCCAGGAGGATCTCGCGTCCGACGAAGCCCTGGATCGCTGGATGCGCCAAACGGTGTTCAACACCACCCACGCCTCCGGTACCTGCAAGATGGGGCCGTCTTCCGACCCCATGGCCGTGGTTGACCCGCGCCTGAATATCCACGGACTGGAGGGCATCAAGGTTGCCGATGCTTCGGTGATGCCCAACGTAATCCGCGCCAACACCAATTGCACCACCATCATGATCGGCGAACGCTGCGCCGACTGGCTGAAGTTGGGACGGTGAGCAACGCCAGCACCTGCGTCAACAGACGCCCGCCCGTGGTCAGACGCGGCGGGCGTCTCGTTTCAGATTATTCAAGGAGACACCAAGGCCATGAAGTGGGAATACTGGGTTGACAAGATGCCCATCAGATCGGGAGGGTTCTTCGGTAACGGACCGATGAACGTTGACTCCGTTGATGAAGCGTTCTTGAACGAACGCGGCGCCGCGGGATGGGAACTGGTGTCCGCGATGCCCCTTTTCATTCCCCAAAATCCCACTGATTGCTTCGTCTACTACTACTGGAAGCGACCGTTGCCAAACAGTTGATGTCCCGCGTCAATTAACGGTGATTGCGCGCATTGCCTGCGTCGGCCAAGGCCGTAGTGTTTTCCTTGACATCGAATCCGCCGATACGTAGTATTACCCTATTAGCAACCAGTTTCTCTAGTTCTTTCGTGGGCGACCGAATCGTTCGCGACGGGAGGGATAGTCATGACAAATCGCGAAGATACTGCCTTGATGGGTCACCTGATGCGGCGAGCCGGATTCGGTGCGACCTATGACGAGTTGGTGGACAAGGCCGGCTGCGGCTACGAAACTGCCGTAGAGGACTTGCTGAATCCCGAGCAGTTCGAGCCCGTGGACGAGGAGTTGCTCTACCGGTTCATGCCTGGCTACGAGGGGGCTTTGGGCCCGCCGCTCAATCAGGCGGAATGGGTTTACCGCATGATCAACACCCAGCGACCGCTCGAAGAGAAGATGGCCCTCTTCTGGCACCAGCTTTTCGCCACCGGCAATTCCAAGGTGGACAACCCGCCTGAGATCACTCAGCAGATCGCCATGTTCCGTCGCTGTGGACTTGGGAAGTTCCGCGACATCCTGCTGGAACTGGCCCAAAATCCTGCCATGATCTTCTGGCTGGACAACAACGGCAACCATCGCGGCGCCATCAACGAGAACTGGGGCCGGGAGTTGCTGGAACTCTTCTCCATGGGTGTCGGCAACTACTCTGAAGACGACATTAAGGAAGCCTCCCGCGCCTTTACCGGCTGGACCATAGGTCCGAAGATTCCGCGCAATCCCCTGGGCCGCTTTTACTGGAATTTCGAGTATCGGCCTGAGGACCACGACGACAGTGAGAAGACCTTCCTGGGAAATACTGGAAACTTCAACGGCCAGGACATTATCAACATAGTGGTGGATCAGCCGGCCACTGCCCGGTTCCTGGCTCGCCACCTCTACAACTTCTTCGTGGCCGACGAGCCCCAGGTTCCCAGCTGGAACATCACGCCACCCAACGATCCGGACGCCATAGACCGCCTGATCGCGGCCTATAACGAATCCGACGGCGACATCCGCTCCATGCTCAGGGTCCTGTTCAACTCCGACTTCTTCAAGCAGGCGCGCTTCAGCCGGGTCAAGAGCCCAGCGGAGCTGGTGATCAGCACTGCCCGTTTGGCGGGCAATTTCACCCAACCGCGCCCCGGCTTCAACTCGCTGGCTTTCGAGTGCAACTACCAGGGCCAGGAGTTGCTGAATCCGCCCAGCGTCGAGAGTTGGCACACCGGCAGCGAATGGATCGACGGCGGTGCTCTGGTGCGCCGCGTCAACTTCGCCGCCGGCCTGCTCGGCGACGTATCGCTCCCTGGCGTCCGCTCAATGGTGGGAGCCCTTCGCGATCGCGGAAGCCTGGGTCCTGACGAATTTGTAGAAGCTTGCCTCGAGATGGTGGGTCCACTGGAAGTCAGCGACGGCACCCGCGCCGAGCTCCTCGACCAGGCCCGCGGCGACGGCGAACTCAGTTGGGACACCGAAGAAGATGCCACCCGGTCCGAGAAGCGCGCCGGCGTGATGCTGGCTCTCATCGCCGCATCACGCGATTTCCAGTTTGCATAGCCTTGTGAAGTAGCGGGAAACGGCCTTTCGCCCCTACTGAACGTCCCGATCCATACCCCGCGCGGAGGAACAACATGACAACGACGACCAAAGACCCGGTGGTGGTGGTCCTGCAGATGACCGGAGCCAACGACTACCTGAACACGATCATCCCGTACACCAGCGGTTATTACCACGACGCCCGCCCCAGGGTCGGCATTCCGGAAGACAAGGTCATTCCCATCAACGACGAGTTGGGCTTCAACCCCCAGATGGGACCCATCAAGAAGCTGTGGGATGAAGGAAAGGTTGCCATCATCCACGGGATCGGCTACGAGAACTCTCCGCGCTCCCACTTCCGCTCGATGGACATCTGGCACACCTGCGAACCGGACATCGTCGGAACCGAAGGTTGGGCCGGCCGTGTCATTCGTGACCTTGATCCCAAGGGCGAAAACGTCCTCAAGGGTATCAACTTCGGCCAGGGTCTGCCCCGCGCCTTGGCTCTGCGCGGCGTGCCAATCACGTCGGTTTCCAGCCTGGAGACTTACGGCGTCCTGTCCAACGTCCCCGTCGAGGCGGAGCGTGACCAGCTGCTGGACCGCTTCGCCCGCATGTATTCCCCCACCGTCGGCACCGGCGCGGTGATGGACTACCTCGGCCAGACCGGTCGGGACGCACTGAAAGGCGCCGATATCGTCCGCTCCGCTCCGGAACAGTACTCGTCCACTGTCGAGTACGCGGACACGCCTATCGCCAAGTACCTTCGGGACATCTCTCAGGTCTATTTGGCTGACCTCGGCACCCAGATGTTCTACACCCAGCACGGCAGCTTCGACTCCCACTTCAATCAGCCGCCGATGCACACCAAGCTGTGGACCGATATGTCCAGCGCCATCAGCGACTTCTTCGACGACCTGGCCGAGCACGACGCTGGCGACAACCTGATCATGGTCCTCTTCACCGAGTTCGGCCGCCGCGTCAGAGACAATGGCACCGGAACCGACCATGGTGCCGCCGGCGCTGCGTTCGTCATCGGCAACCAGGTCAAGGGCGGCATGTACAGCACTTATCCGTCCCTGCGGCCCGAGGACCTCAGCCAGGGCGACCTGGCGCCAAACTATGACTTCCGCGGCCTCTACGCCACTGTCATCGAGAAGTGGCTGGGTCTGGACTCCGTGCCCATCGTCGGCGGCAATTTCGAGCAACTCGATTTCGTATAGCCATCGCCGAACAGGACCAAGGAGATCAACCATGCTTACCACAGTGGCCGCCGGCCGGGTGTTTGACTACAACTACTGCATCGGCATGTACGGCATGTCCGGTCAGGGATTCTGGACTCCCCAGGACTTTGCCCTGGCCGATGACGGCCTCATGTACGTGCTCAACCGCGGGGCGGAGGAACTCGGTCAGCGCGTCAGCCGCGTCACCCAGGACCATCAGTTCCTCGGTCAGTTCGGTGCATTTGGTCGTGGCGACGGCCAGTTCGTCTGGCCCCGCTCCATCACGTTGGATAATGACGGCAACGTCTATGCCTCCGACGACTTTCTGAACCGCGTGTCTGTCTTCGATCCGGAAGGCTCCTTCATGTCCTGTTGGGGACAATCCGGCGATGGCGAGGGTGAGTTGAACGCTCCCTGCGGCATCGCTTTCGATGGGGACGGCAACATGCTGGTCGTCGACAGCCAGAACCATCGTGTCCAGAAGTTCACCAGGGAAGGGAAGTTCCTCACCGCCTTTGGCCGTTGCGGCGACGGCGATGGGGAGTTCAATCTGCCTTGGGGCCTGTGCCTGGACGCCGCCGGCAACATCTACGTGGCCGACTGGAAAAACAACCGGGTGCAGAAGTTCGACGCGGACGGAAACTTCCTGCAAAAGTTCGAAGCTTCCCTCGCTTCCGGCGTTGGCGACCTCCACGGTCCCACTGGCGTCGCTGTCGACTCCGAAGGCGACGTGTACGTCACCGACTGGGGCAACCACCGCCTCCAGGTCTACGCCCCCGACGGACGGTTCATCACCTCCCTGGTTGGTGATGCCCAGGATCCGTCACCCTGGACGCAGACCTACATCGACGCCAACCCAGACATCGTGAAGGCACGCCGTCGGGTTGATCTGGAACCCGAGTGGCGGTTCCGCCGCCCGGTCTCCGTCCGCGTGGACGAGAACGACCGTATCTTCGTGCTGGAGGCCAGCCGACACCGCATCCAGGTCTACGACAAGGTCAAGGACTACGAGGAACACCCGCTGAACCTGTGACGTTGTCCTGATGGCCGCATTTTTTCGTAGGGGCGAACGATCATTCGCCCCTATCGATTTGCCCATGTGTGGGGATGTGCTCGGTTATAATGCCGCCCAACACCATACCCTGCGACGGCAGACGCTGATGGAGGTTCCCCCATGACCCAGCAAGCCACCGGGATTGATTCCGACCGCACCGCCGTTCTCATCATGGATTTCCAGCAGCGTATCATCGCCAACGTGGCTACCGAGCCCGTGGCGGTGGTCGAAAACGCCGCAAAGGCTCTGGATGGCGCGCGTCGGGCCGGCATCCCCGTCATCTACGTCGTGCATCGCGGCGGCCCCTTCGCCGAGTACGCCCCTGACGTGGAACTGCACCAGGGCGTCGCGCCGTCCGAGGGTGAATTGGTCATCACGAAGGTCCGACCGGGTCCATTCTCCACCACGGCCCTGGACGTGACCCTGCGCGAGATGGGCCGCGACAACCTCGTCATCATGGGCGTGGCCACCAGCGGCTGCGTCCTTTCTTCCGTGCGCTGGGCGGTGGACGTAAACTACAGATTCATCGTCCTCTCCGACGCCTGCTCCGACGGTGATCCCGAAGTCCATCGCGTCCTCACCGAGAAGGTCTATCCGCGCCAGGGCACCGTGATGACCACCGACGAGTTTCTTCAGGCCTTGTAGGCGCGGATCATCATTGGCCCCTTATTGGTAACGCTAACGATCTGGTGAATTCCAAGGAGCGTCAGCATGAAATACGACGTCATCGTGATTGGAGCCGGTTCCGCCGGCGGCACCATGGCAACCCGCCTGTCGGAGGATTTTTCGCGATCCGTGCTTCTGCTTGAAGCCGGCCCCGACTATCCCGACCTGGAGCAGACCCCCGACGACCTCAAGTTCGGCTATGCTCCTCGCGCTTCTGAAATGGGCGCGCCACATAACTGGTCCTTCGTGGGCACCGGCACGCCCCTCCAGTCTGAGCCCGTGAACGTTCCGCGCGGGCGGGTTGTCGGCGGCACCAGCGCCATCAACGGCCAGGTCTTTCTGCGCGGCGTGCCCGAGGACTACGACCGTTGGGCCTCGTGGGGCAACGACGAGTGGAGCTACATCAACGTGCTCCCGTACTTCCGCAAGCAGGAAACCGACACCGACATCTCCGACGACTTTCACGGTTTCGAGGGCCCCATTCCGGTGCGCCGCCACCGTAGGGAGAACTGGCTTCCACTACAGGAAGCCTTCGTTCAGGCCTGTAGCGACGTCGGTTACGCTGAGGTGTACGACCACAACCACCCCGATTCCAGCGGCGTTGGCCCCTTCCCCATGAACAACCCCAACGGCGTACGCATGAGCACCGCGTTGACTTACGTCAATCCCAACCGTCATCGCCTCAACCTGACCATCCGCGCCAACGTCCGCGTTCGGCGTATCCTTTTCGATGGCCCCCGCGCCGTCGGCGTCGAGGTCGAGAGTGGCGGGGAGACCTTCCAAATCGAGGCGGAGCAGATCGTCCTCTGCGCCGGCGCCATCGCCTCGCCTCAGCTCCTGATGCTGTCCGGCGTCGGACCGGCGGCGGAACTACGCAGCTTGGGCATACCCGTGGTCAAGGACCTCCCGGGAGTGGGCAAGAACCTCCGCGACCATCCCCTGGTCCCCGTCCGCGTCAAGGTCAAAGATGATTTCCCCCTCGACCCCGACGCGCCGCGTATTCAAACGGTCCTGCGCTACACCGCCAGCGGCTCCGGCGCCCGCAACGACATGCAGATCTTCCCGTCGTCCTTCTCCACTCCGTTGGGCGGCGACCCCTTCGATAACGAGGGCATCCGCCTCACTTGCATGATGGAGCTGGCCGAGAGTGCCGGTGCCCTGACCCTGCAGTCCACCGATCCCGACGTGCAGCCCCACATCGACTGCCGCTATTTGGAGGCCGATTGGGACCGCGAGCGCATGCGGGAAGCCATTCGCATCGTGCTGGGCCTCCTGGACCACGAGCAGTTCCGCAACATCTACGATGGCCTGATCTCGCCCACCGCGGATGACCTGGTATCCGACGAAACGCTGGACGACTGGATGCTCCGCGAGGTCTGCATCGGCCAGCACCTCTCCGGCACCTGCAAGATCGGTCCCGACAGCGACCCCATGGCCGTGGTCGACCAGTACTGCCGCGTCCAGGGCATCGAGGCCCTGCGCGTCGCCGACGCCTCGGTGATGCCCGACGTCATCCGCGCCAACACCAACTGCACCACCATTATGATCGGCGAACGCGTCGCCGAGTGGATCAGAACCGGTCAGTAGACCTCGCGCCTCTGACTACGTGGGCGCCGGATGCTGGCGCCCGAAAACAATCCCCGTGCGCCTGTCCTACAAGCCGCGAACGCTATTGGGCGATCTGTTCGGCGGTGTTACTACCGCCGCCACGGTGCTTCCCATGGCGCTTGCCTATGGTGTGGCTACGGGGTTGGGTCCTGTGGCCGGCATGTACGGCGCCATAGCTGTTGGGTTATCGGCGTCGGTGTTCGGCGGCGCGCCGGCTCGGATCGCATACTCCACCGCAGCCATGACGGTGGCGATGATGATCGTGCTTACGCAGCACGCGCGGACCCCGTCCGAGGCATTCACCATCGTCATGCTGGCCGGAGTGATCCAGATTGCGCTGGGCATCCTGCGGATCGGCCGGTTCGTAAACTACACCCCGTATTCAATGATCGCGGGGTTTACCTCCGGTATTGGCCTGATGATCATAATCATCCAGACTTTGCCTTTTTTGGGCGCCGAGCCCGCTCCCGGCGGTCTGCTCGGAATCGTCCGAGCCTGGCCGGAGGCTGTGGTCAAGCCGAACTTGCACGCCGTCGTTGTGGGCGGAGCAGCGTTGGCGATCTGCGTTTTCTGGCCGCGCCGGTTGGGTCGGTACGTACCCGGGCCCCTGCTCGCGCTGCTTGTGGCAACTGCCATTGCGACGCTGTGGTTGCACGAGGCGCCGACAATCGGCAAACTGCCGCAGGGCGTGCCGGCGATGTACTTGCCGGAGCTCGCGCCCGATCTGCTGCTTTCCGCGTTACAGCCGGCGCTGACCCTGGCGCTCATCAGTTCCGTCAACAGTTTCGTGGCTTGTTTGGTGGCAGACACCCTGACACGCACTCGTCATCAACCCAACCGGGAGTTGGTGGGCCAGGGCATCGGCAACGTTGCTGCGGGCGTCCTGGGCGCCCTGCCCGGCGCCGGTGCGCCGACGGGTACCACCGTGAACATTCGCGCCGGCGGCACCACTCCCGTTTCCGGCGTGACATGCGCAGGGATCCTGCTGGCCCTCGTGCTAGGCTTGGGATGGATCGCGCAACCGATTCCCGTGGCCGCATTGTCGGGCATTCTGATCAAGGTCGGTTGGGACATCATCGACCGGCGACTCATCACGCGCATTCACCACGTTCGGCGGGAATACTTGCTAGTCATGCTGCTCACCCTGGTCCTGACCGTGTTCGTGGACATGATCACTGCCATCGCCATCGGACTGATCGTAGCCGGATTCGCCCGGGCCCGCGCCAGGGAACAGCGGGAACTGGGCAGCGTGATATCGGTGCCCCTGCTGGAGCGTGGGTTTTTCGCCGGCGCCGACGACGTTGACCAATTTCAGGCCCGCATCGGGTTGGTGGATTTGCGCGGTGAATTTTCCTTCGCTTCCGCCAACGAGCTGGCCTGGATGGTTGGCGCGGACATCCAGCAGCACGAGGTCGTCATCCTGGACTTTTCCAACACCATCCACATGGACGACAGCGCGGCCCTCGTAATTGAGAGACTGGTAGACGCGGCCGCAGCGGCCAAAACTGAATGTATCGTGCTCAATCTTTCCGGCTCCGTGGACGAAACCCTCCGATCGCTGAATGTTTTTCGCAGGCTGCCCGCGGGACGGATGGTGCACGACCTAGACGCCGCCAGGGACCTCGCCGCCAATCTGCTCAACGACCGGGGCGAATAGCGGTTCGATCCGACCCGATTGCGCTGCCACATCCGGGCGAGTCTGATAAACTCCGACAATCTGCTGGCCATAATGTTGTAAATCGAAACGGAGGCTGCCCCAAGGAGCAAAGCAATGTCTGTAGGAATAATCGTCCCCCTGCCCGCGTACACCCTCGACCCCGCGTTCGTCGCCAAAAAGGCCGAGGAGCTGGGTTTTGAGTCCATCTGGTATCACGAGCATCCCATCCTGCCCGTGCACAGCGAGAGTCCCTTCCCCGCCACCGGCGGCGAGATTCCCTGGACCTACCGCCACTTCTCCGACCCGTACATGTCCCTAGCCATGGCCGCCGCCGTGACCGAGCGTATCAAGTTGTGCACTGGCATTACCCTGATGCCCGAACGCAACCCTCTGATCCTCGCCAAGCAGATCTCGGTATTGGACCGCCACAGCAACGGCCGTTTCGTCTTCGGAATTGGCGCTGGCTGGAACCGTGAGGAAACCGAGATGATGGGCGGCGACTTCGACCACCGCTGGACCCAGACCGAGGAGGCCGTCGGTGCCCTGAAGGCCCTGTGGACCGAGGACCAGGCCGAGTTCCACGGTCGCTACTACAACTTCCCGCCCGTCTACATGTACCCCAAGCCGGTCCAGGATCCTCATCCTCCGATCCTGCTGGGTGGCAACGCCCGCAACGTACTGCGTCGCGTGGTGCGCTACGGCGACGGCTGGCTCCCCAACCGCGCCAACCCGGATCAGATTGAGGACAGCCGCAAACAGATCGACACCCTGGCCGCCGAGCGGGGCCGCGACCCCGAGGCTATCACCATCTCCGTGTTCGGCCAGCCGCCGGAAACCACCCGCCAGGCTGTGGACGATTTCCTGAACGCCGGTGCCTTGCGCGTATGTGTGTGGCCCAACCACTCTGATTCCGAGGAGGAGATGGGCCAACAACTGGAAAGCATGGCCGAAACCCTGCTTCGCTAACGGCAAGCGAAATCGCGTGTGCCGCGCATCCGGTAGATCGGTCCACTCTGGATCAGAATCTGGGATCGTTGCGGGGCTCGCCGTGCGGGCGACAACCATTCGCGTAACTGTTCAGACTTGGGGGGATCTAAAGGCTATCTGGCCTCTTGCGGATGGGCAGCCAAGCACGGATTGTCCTCTGCAAATCAATTCCGTCCCCTCAAACGTGAACAGTTACCCATTCGCCCCTACTATTGACAGCGACCGCATCACCGGAACTTCACGACCCACGTCGGATTGTTCTTTGTGACGCAACCTCTACCCACCTGCGTATAGGAGGCAGTGACCATGGCGACCTATGTGTATGTTGCAGCCCAGGACGACAACAAGGTGTCCATCTTCACGATGGACGAGGCCAGCGGAGCCTTGACCATCGCGGGTGAGGAACCCGTTTCCGGCGGGCCGTCCTTGCTCGCCATCAGCCCTGACCGGCGGACCCTGTATGCGGGCCACCGCGAGGTACCCGAGATTACCAGCCATCGCATCGATCAGCAGACGGGCGAGTTGACCCAGACCGGTTCGGTGACCCCGCCCGGCCAGCCGGCTTTCCTGTCCACCGACCGGACCGGACGCTTTCTGCTCTCGTCCTACTACGCCGACGGCAAAGCCGCGGTGCACCCCCTGGGCGAAGACGGTAGCCTGGGTGGCGCGGCCACCGCGGTTTTGGACACCGACTCTGGCGCCCATTCCATGCTGACCGACCGCTCCAACCGGTTCGCCTACGTGCCCCACATTGCCCGGCAGCAGGACAACGTTCTCGAACCTCCCAAGAACATACCGGGACCCAACATTATCTATCAGTTCCGCTTCGATGAATCTACCGGGGCGTTAACCGCCAACGATCCGCCCACGCTGGCCCAGGATGACCTTATGGGGCCACGCCATTTCACCTTCCATCCAAGCCTGGATATGGTGTACTTCTCCAACGAGCAGGGCAGTAGCGTGTCCTCGTACCAGATTGATGGTGACGGCCGGCTGACGCTGTTCGAAACCGTCTCAACTCTGCCGTCCGGCGTCACCGAGCGCAACACCTGCTCTCAGATTCAGTTCTCGCCCGACGGCAGCCTGCTCTTTGTGCCCAACCGCGGCCACAACAGCATCGCCAGCTTTTCCGTCGACGGCGAAGGACGGCTGATCGCCGCCGGCCACGCAGCCACCGAGGCCGTGCCCAGCGCCTTCAGCCTGGACCCTTCGGGCCGCTTCGTGTTCGCGGCGGGTTCGGCAACCGGGCAATTGGCGTCCTACAGCATCGACGGAGACACCGGGCAACTGACCCCGCTTGGCGCCTACTCAGTGGGCGAGAGGCCCATGTGGGTGCTCACCGCTACCCTGGGCTGATTACCCACAACTACACACATGATCCGAGAGGTTTGAAATGCGACTGGAAGGAAAAGTTGCTCTCATCAGCGGCGGTGCGCGCGGTCAAGGCGCTACCGAAGCCAGGCTGTTTGCTCAGGAAGGCGCCGCGGTGGTCATCGGCGACATTCTGGACGAGGAGGGGATGAAACTGGAGGCGGAAATCCGCGAGCTGGGTGGCCGGGCCTCCTTTGTCCACCTCGACGTCACCGATGCGGACCAGTGGGCCGACGCCGTGACTGAGGCTGTCAGCCGGTACGGCAAGCTGGACATCCTGGTCAATAACGCCGGCATCGGCGGCACCAGCATCGGAGGAGTCAATGCCCCCCGCATCCACGAAGCGCCCACCGAGGTATGGGACCAGATCATGAACGTGAACGGCAAGGGCGTCTTTCTGGGCACCCGAGCCGCCATTCCTGCCATGCGTACCAGCGGCGGCGGCTCCATCATCAACATCTCGTCCATCGCGGGAATGATTGCCACGAGGCCGGGCTCTGGGGCCGGCGCCGCCTACGCCAGTTCAAAAGGAGCGGTGCGCCTGCTCACCAAGTCCACCGCCGTCCAATATGCCGGCGAGAACATCCGATGTAACTCGGTCCACCCGGGCTTTATCGACACGGCCATGACGGCGCGAACCATGTCTGACCCGGAGCAACGGCAACTTCGCGTTGACGCGACTCCCGTCGGCCGCATCGGCACTGTGGAGGATATCGCCTACGGTGTGCTATTCCTAGCCTCGGAGGAATCGTCCTTCATGACCGGGAGCGAACTCGTCATCGACGGAGGCTATACGGCTCAATAGTCCCCTTGGTCATTTTACGGCGTGCAACGCGCCATCTTCGGTCCTCACCAACAACATACCTTCGGCGTAAATGGGTTCGGTGCGTACGCCGGCCGGCATCTTCAACCTCCAGCGTTCCGCGCCGTCGGATTTGTCCAACCCGTACAGCCAGCCGGCCTTGTCTCCGAAGACCAGCAGGTCACCCGCCACAATGGGCGAAACCAGGATGCCGTCCTCGCCCTGGAACTGCCACCGCTCGTCTCCGGTGATGGCATCGATGGCATACATCTTGCCCAGCGTGTCGCCCACGTACAGACCGTCCCCGGCCACTGCTGGCGCCGATATGATGCCCTCGGTCCTTTTCTGGCGCGAGGGGAACCCTTCGGGATAGTCGGAACTGAACCGCCACTTGTCACCAGGCTGTGACGGCGGCGCGGGCAGCGGGAACCCCCAGAGCCAAAGCTGGGACCACGTGCGGGTCACGGCGTATTGCCCCGGATATTCCAAGGCGTCCGCGTCCATCGCAAACAGTTTTCTCTCGGACACGAAATAGGTGAGCCGGTTGGCCGTCACCGGCGCGGCGGCCAGCGCGGCTCCGGTGCGAAACCTCGCTCGCTCCTGACCGGTGCGCGAGTCCAGCGCGTAAAGACTTCGGTCCGCCGACGCCGTGTAGACGATCTTCTGCCCTACCGCCGCCGGGGATCGCACCTCGCCCAGGGATTCGTGCCTCCAGACTAACTCGCCGGTCTTGGCGTTCACCGCGTACGTAATCCCATCCAACGCGCCCGCATACACGATCCCATTGGCCACCGCTACCGGGCCTGAAGTGGCGTCACCCATCTGGTATTCCCACCGGATATCCTGGGTCTCGGCGTCCCGCGCCACCAGGCGACGGTCCGGCAGCGTGTAGAAAAGGGTACCGTCCGCCAACGCCAACGAGTTTCCAATCGGCCCGGTGGCCGGCATGGACGAGGTCTCCTTACCGGTGCCAGGGTCAAGCACCGTGATGCGGAAGTGCGCTCCAAGGAATACGCGTCCGTCCGACACAATCGGCGCGGCCAGCGTCGCCGGCCCGGTGTCGACGCTCCAGACCAATTGCCCCTGGGGTTCGTCGAGCGCATCCGGCGCGTAACGCGTCTGGCCGAGGTTCCGCCCGTGCATGGTCCATCCTGGGCCGACGGACGCCGAATCGAAGACCGCGTCAGGTTGTCGCCCCAATAGGATCACCGGATCCGGAATGAACGGAAAATTGATCCAGACCAGGAAGCCGATGATCACCACCGCCGCGACGGCGATCAGTGCGTTGCGCCTCGAGAAGAACCGACGTCGGCGTGGAGCCTGCTGAGCCCAATCGGGCAGGTGCCCTTCAGCATCGGCATGCTCCGTGGGTTCGTGTTGTGCGCGTTCCGAAGAATTTTCGGGAGAGGCGGCCATGTCAGTCCGGTTGCAAATGGTCAAAGTAGCGGCGGGATGCGCTGACACACCCCGCCGTCACAATTCGTTGATTCCGGTTCAAGCTACACGTTGCGCAGCTTGGGGTCAAGCCGGTCGCGGAGCCAGTCACCCATCAGGTTCATGGAAAGCACGGTGAGGACGATGGCAATCGTCGGGAAGAAGAATAGCCACCAAGCCGTGACGATCAGCGTGCGACCGTCGGCCACCATCAGGCCCCAAGCTGGCGTCGGTTTCACCAAGCCCGCTCCCAGGAAACTCAACGTGGACTCAAGGATGATCACATGGCCAACCTCCAGGGTAGCCAAAACAACCACGGTGTTCACCACGTTGGGAAAGATGTGCCGCACCATGATGCGGGTGGGAGACGCCCCAGATACCTGCGCGCGGGCGATGAAGTCCTGTTGCTTGATGGCCAAGGCCTCACCCCGTACCATCCGGGCGAATCTCGCCCATAGCAGCAATGCTATGACTATCACCACAGTCTGGAACCCCGGCCCGCTCACCGCCACCAACACCAAAGCCAATAAGATTGAAGGAAACGCCAACTTGATGTCGACGATCCGCATGATCAGGTTGTCTACCCAGCCGCCGGCGTAGGCCGCCAGCAGTCCCAGCACCGTGCCTACGCCGCCGCCCAGCGCGATGGCCAGCAGGGAAATCGACAACGATATCCGCGCGCCGTGGATGATGCGGCTGAGGATGTCAAATCCATGGCGGTCGGTACCCAGCACGTAATTCCAACTGCCACCTTCCTGCCAGGCCGGTGGCAACAGGCGGTCGCTTAGTCTCACCTCCACCGGGTCGTGCGGGGAGATCACGTTGGCGAAGATCGCAGGGAATATCAGCGTGATCACCAGGATCAACAGCGGGATAATAGGATATTGGCCAATGTTGATCCATGCCCGGCCGACCAAACCGCGTTGGCGATACAACTCGTCGGCGGGAGTCGTGTTGACGGCGGGAGTAGCGGTAGGGGTGGTCATCGCTAATTTCCTTGTGCGGGCGGCGAATGCGCGGGAATCAGCTCGGTTAGTAGCGGATCCGAGGGTTCAGGTAGGCGTACATCACGTCAACGGCGAGGTTGATGAAGATGTAGAACGCGGCGAACAGGATGACGATGCTTTGGATCACCGGGAAGTCGCGGTTGCGGATGGCGTCGATGGCAAGGTCGCCCAAACCGGGCCACACAAACACCGTTTCGATTACCACCGAACCGGTCAGGAGCACGGCGCCGATAAGACCCATGTAGGTGAACGGAACGATCAGTGCATTGCGGAAACAGTGTTTCCAGATGACTTTACGCTCCGGCATGCCCTTGATGCGAGCCAGTTTTACGTACTCGGTATCCAGCACTTCCAGCATCGACGATCTGGTGAGTCGCATGACCGCCGCTACATTGTAGTACCCGAGCGCCATCCCGGGCAGTATGATCGACTTGAACCCGGCGTCGTTGCCTGAGGTGGGTAACCACCCTAATATCACCGCGAATACCCACATCAGGATCAGTCCAATGGCGAATGATGGAGCGGACTGGCCGATCAGGGCAACCACTTTGCCGGCCCAGTCGAAGGCGGAGTCCTTCTTCACGGCCACCATTACCCCGATGGGCAAAGCTATGGAAGCGCTGACTAGCCAAGCGAAACCGGCCAGCATGACCGTGTTGGGCAGCCGATGGGCGATCAGGCCCGTGATCGGTACGCCGCCATACGCCCAGGCTTCACCAAAGTCGCCGGTGACGAAGTTGCCGAGGTAACGGGCGTATTGGACGTAAATCGGTTGGTCCAGTCCCCACTTTTTCCGCACCTGCTCGACCACGGCGGGACTGGCGTCTTCGGGAAGCAGGATGGCCACCGGGTCACCGGTAACTCGCGCCAGCGCGAATACTATGGCGCTGATGACCAATATCGCCAGGAACGACTGTATCACCCGCAAAAATATGAATCGCTGCATGGGAGGCCTTCGCAGTCAGTGGGGTTGATGATGGGGGTTCGAAGGACGACCGTACGGTCGCCCTTCCATGTGTATCCGGTTTAGTTGCGCACCACCTTGGTGTACTCGTGGCCTTTCATGCCGCCAAAGTAGCTGTTGTTCACCGAGTACTCGGCAATGACGTTGGGGTTGATGCCGAATTCCGCGAACAGGAAGCCCAGCGGTATCGTGGCATTCTGTTCGTACATGTACTGACCGGCGTCCTTCATCAGGTTGAGCCGTTCTTCGTCATCTACACTGCTCTGCCACTTGCTGAACAGATCTTCGGTGTATGGGTCTTCATACATGTAAACCGCGCCGGCCAGGGTGGGGCTGACGAAGTACACCCGCATATTGCGGCCAGCCGGCCAGAAGCCGGTCCGGTGGGTCCACAGCACCCCGTTCATCTCGCGGGCCTTGTACCGCGTGCGGATGGGCTGGAACTCGCCGATCTGGGCGTCAACGGTGAACCCCACTTCCTCCAGCCAGGAGATCATCGGGACCGCGACTTCCGTGAGCTCCGGAACGCCGACCAGTTTGCCGGCCATGAACTCGACGCTCGGCCCGGAGCCCTCCGAGTAGCCCGCTTCTTGCAGCAGCTGACGGGAAAGGTCGGGGTCGTAGGCCGGGATCTCCCACGCCGGATCGAACGAGGGATCCGTCGGGTGCCAACCGGTGTTGGCCATCAATTCCATTTTGTTGTCAAAGAACGCTTCGTTGAGCGCATCCCGGTTCATCGCGTGGTTCATGGCCCTGCGGACCAGCACGTTGGTGTTTGGGTCGTTGGCGTCCCGCCTGTCTTCCAGGTACTGGCCGCCAATGCCGATCCACACCATGAAAGCCGGTAGTGTGCTCTTCGTGATGGCATAACCCGCCTTCACGATTTCGCCCTGCAACTCGCGCGGAATCTCGGCGATGTCCGCTTCCCCGGCCCGTAGCATTGCCACGCGGGTCAGGTCTTCTTCAGCGAAGAAGAAGGTAAGGGTATCGAAGTCGGGGTTGATGCGCCAGTGGTCGTCGAACGCCCTCTCATACTCAAGCTTGGCGCCCTGTTCGTAGCTGACATGCCGCCACGGGCCGGTTCCCACCGGGTTGGCTGCGTAAGCTGCCTCCCCGTTTGTTGCCCAGTAGTCCAAGCTGTAGATCAGCGGGTCGGTGGTGGCGTCCGAAGCATAGAACGGGATCCACAACTCGGGACGCTTCATGTTCCAAACCATCTCGTTGTCGCTGACTTCCGTTACGGTTGGTGCGGTTCCCAGCTCGTCTGCCGTCCAGTTGCGCCGCTCGCCGTCCGGTCCCAGTATCTGGTGCCAGAAGTCGCCGAACCCGGTCTTGGCTTCAGCGTGCGACCACAACTGGAAGCTAAACACGAAGTCCGAAACGCCGAAGGTGTCCGCTTCGTGATGGAAGGGGACGTTTTCGCGCAGCTTGATCGTCCACTGCCTTCCGTCCGGGGAGACCGACCACGATTCAGCCAGCATGGGCTTGGCTTCCCAGGTCTGGTAGTCACGCTGGAAGAGCGCCTCCTGCATCGGCTGCAGGATGCCCTGGTTGGTTCCGCCCACGCGCCAACCCAACAGGTTTTCGGCGTAAGGCGGGGTGATGGCCACGCGCAGGTCTGCCTGAACCGGCTCGCCTGCGGTGGCGTCCGGAACCGCTGTCGCGGCTGGGGCCACGGTCGGGGCCGCGCCGCCGGCCGCGCGGTCGCTCATGCCGGCCGGCTGTGCCAGCGCTGTGGTCGCGGTCGGTGCGGCCTGCTGCACCGGAGCCGCCGCCTGCGTCGCTGCCGGCTGCTGTCGGGCCGCTGCCGGAGCGCTCGTCGCCGGCTCCTGTTCTGCCGGAGCGCCGCACGCCATCGCCGCCGTTACGGCGAGGGCCAGCAGACCCACGATCCCAGTGCGTAGTGCTAATCCTCTTGACATAGAATCCTACCTCTGCGCCGCTTGGCTCGCTGGCCTGATGCGACTCTTTGCATCGCCCAAATGGCCTCGGCCCTTTGAGTCGTGCGGCGGAAGGTACTGAAAAACCATATCAAAGTCAACCAACGTACCTGTCATCAACATACGCTGGGTGACGAATACAGCATATACAATAGGCATCAACATAACATAACCGTAAAAGCGGCGGCATAAATAAATTATATGCGGTGCATTGATCATAATCGATTACGATAACGGCTGTAGACTAAACCGGGAGGTTCCCTGCGGTGGTCCTTGCGCTCACTGACATGGCTCGACTCGTCATTGATCCCGCAAACTTGTGCCGGTGCATGGCGAAATGGATGGGCGGCGCGTGCCAAACAGGCGGCGCCGCCCGGTATTCGCTCAGTTGCGCACTACCCTGGTGTATTCGTGGCCCTTCATGCCACCGAAGTAGCTGTTGTTGACCGAGTATCCGACGATAACCTCCGGGTTGATACCGAATTCAGCGAACAGGAAACCGAGCGGCATCGTGGCATTCTGCTCGTACATGAACTGGCCGACTTCGCGCATGATTTGTTCGCGTTCTTCTGCGTTCACGCTGGTCTTCCAGCGGTCATACTCCTGCTCCACGTACGGATCCTCGTACATGTACACCGCTCCCTGCTGGTTGGGGCTGACGAAGTAAACCCGCACATTGCGACCCGACGGCCAGAAACCGGTCCGGTGGGTCCACAGCGTGCTGTTCATCTCGCGAGCTTTGTAGCGGGTCCGAATGGGCTGGAACTCGCCGATCTGGGAGTCAACCGAGAACCCAACCGCCTCGAGCCAGGAGATTATTGGCACCGCGATCTCGGTCAATTCAGGGACACCCACGAGCTTGCCCGCCATGAACTCGACGGTGGGTCCCGCACCCGCGGCGTATCCCGCCTCCTGCAGCAATTGGCGAGACAGGTCGGGGTCGTAGGCCGGGATCTCCCAGTCGGGATTGTAGGCCGGGTCCGTCGGGTGCCAGCCGGTGTTGGCCATCATTTCCATCTTGTTGTCGAAGAAGGCTTCATTGATGGCGTCTCGGTCAATGGCATGGTTCATTGCCGGCGCACGAGCACGTTGGTGTTGGGGATCGTTGGCGTCCCGTCGGTCCTCAAGATACTGGCCACCAATGCCTACCCAGACCATGAAGGCTGGCAACGTGCTCTGTGTGATGGCATACCCCGCTTTGACGATTTCACCCTGGAGCTCGCGCGGGATCTCGGCGATGTCCGCCTCACCGGCCCGCAGCATGGCGACCCGGGTCAGGTCCTCCTCCGCGAAGAAGAACGTCAGCGTTCTCGAAGTCCGGCGTAATCCGCCAATGTTCGTAGGGAACGCGCTCGTATTCGAGCTTCGCGCCCTGCTCGTAACTCACGTGCTGGAACGGGCCGGTACCCACCGGATTCTGCGCGTACTCGTCTTCGCCGACCTTCTCCCAATAGTCCATGCTGTAGATCAGCGGGTCCGTGCGTCGCGTCTGAGAACCAGAAGGGCACCCACAGTTCGGGACGGTTCGGCGTGCCAGATCATCTCGCTGTCCGAGACTTCTTCGACCGCCGCGGTGGTTCCAAGCGCGTCAACCTCGATGCTTCGCAACTCGCCCTGCGGTCCCAGCAGTTCGTGGAACCAGTCGGTGGCGCCCTTGCCCTCCGGGTGGGACCACAAGCTGGAGGCTGAACACGAAGTCGGAAACGCCGAAGTGTCGTCACCGTGGTGGTACGGCACGTCCTCGCGCAGCTGGAAATGCCAGGTCTGGCCGTCCTCCGACACTTCCCATTCCGTGGTCAGCATCGGCTTTGCTTCCCAGGTGACGTAGTCGCGTTGGAACAGGTGCTCCTGCATCGGCTGCAGCATGCCCTGGTTGGTGCCGCCGACGCGCCAGCCGAGCAGGTTTTCAGCGTAGGGCGGCGTGATGGCGACCCGAAGATCGGCTTGGACAGGAGTACCGGCGGTTGTTTCCGGAACCGCCGTCGCCGCTGGGGCCGCGGTTGGGGCTGCTCCTCCTGCCGCCCGGTCGCTCATGCCGGCCGGCAGTGCCAGGGCGGCGGTAGCGGCGGGTTCGGCCGGCGCGGCTGCCGGAGCCGCGGGTGCAGCGGTCGCCGCCGGTTGCTGTTGCTGGCTGGCACTCGCAGGAGCGCTGGTCGCCGGCTCTTGCTCAGCTGGAGCGCCGCAGGCTATCGCTATCGTCAATGCAAAGCTCAAAAATACGCATAATGCGATCCGTACCCAGCGATTGGTCGCCATAATCGTGCACCTCCATTGTGAATCCGAATTGGTTACGTCGCGCAATATCATCATATATGATGATATACATTATTTGTATAGTCAATGCACTCTACTGAATGCAACCGCCTTTGTCAACCTGCCCATTCGGATAAAAATTTGCCCACGCCCAACGGTAGGCGATGATCACTGGCAAGTCTCTTGTGGCGCCGTTGCTGGCCATGGCGCGCGCCGCGATCGTGCTTTCGTCGGCGCTGATGACTATGCTCATGCCGCCGATTCGGCGGTAATCGACCCGGCGTCCAATACCGACAGGTAGGGCCACGCCGCGGCTTGGCCGTTAACTACCACGCCGGCCACGTGATCCTCACCCGGTCTGCGTCCGCTGTAAGGTGTGGACGGGATATCCGAAACGAGCACTCGGCTGTGGGGATTGGCGGCGAGCCATTGCCGCCAGGTCGTTAGCTGGGATGGCATCAACTCGAGGCTGGATCCGGCCAGGGGACCGGCGATCGCCTCTCCGAGAGGTTGGGACCACACGCTGCCCGTCGCGTGGTCATACCAAGTCATCGCTCCCTTGTATAGCGCTCCCTGGTTGCCGAATACTGCCGCGCTGCCACCCACCCGACGGTCGTGGACCAGCGCCGTGTAGCAGAGTGGGCACCAGGTGACCAGCACCGGCACACCTCCAACGGTATCGTTCACCATTTCCCGGTGATATAGCAGCCCGGCGGGGTAGGCCCTCGCATCCCCGTTGATGTTCAACCCGATGATCAGCTCGTCGCTCGGCAGGTCAGACCCATCGGCACTCCGGAATTCTGGATCGTAGATCGGGGGGATGGCGTCCGGCCGACGCAACTGCCGGTACTCGGCGTCATCAAATGCGGAGGAGACCCGACCCTCCGGACCGATCAGCTCGTCAACGCTTCCAACGTAAATAGAAGCCGCTGGCGTGCTTTCGGGCGCCAGACTGATGCCCGAAGAGGCGTTACCAGACTGGCAGCTACCCAAGGCGTTCAAAAAGAGCATGGCCGCGAGTACCAGTCCTCCGATGTTTGACAGCCGCATCACGTGATTCTATGCGGTCATGCAACCATTGGGCCATTCCGTGAGGTCAGCGTAACGATCAGAGTGGTTCCATGGCGTTGGCTCGGGTCATGCTGGAGGACGTATTCGATCCAAGAGCGGCCCACAGCCCGCGGCGATGACCGGGTCGTTCCGTCATCGTGCGCATCAGTTGAGCTCAATCACGCTGCGGGGCGCCCATGTCCCAGTATCCGTTTCCGATTTCGCCACGCAGGTGCATTTGTAGCGACTCGGGCCGACAGAGGAAAACCGGGGACATCGAGTGTCCCCGGTTTTCAAATCAAGTGCTCGTAGCACCACGCCGGATTAGATCACCGCAGCACTAGCGCCAGTTGGTCTGCGTTGGCCCGCATCATGCTGATGTAATCCGGATACTCGTCGTCTGGCAACGAACGGATAATCCCGACCTGTATGCTCGTGTCCCGGGCAACCTGTTGCAGAGCGTCGGCGGAGAATTGGGGTTCCGCGAACACGGCAGTCAGACTACGATGCTCCACCATCTCCAGGACGTTGGCAATGTCGTCCGGCGAGACATCCTCAGCGTGCGCGCTCACAAAGGCTTGCACCTCCACATCATAGCGTTCGCCGAAATACCCGAAGGCGTCGTGGAATGTCACCATTACCCGGCGTTCATGGGGTATCGGCGCCAGCGCGTCGACGATGTAAGCGTCCAGAGCCTCCAGTTCCGCGATGTATGCCGCTGCGCTGTCCAGGTACGTCCCTGCGTTCGCCGGGTCCGCCGCAACCAACCCGTTGGTGATTTGGTTCACGTAGTGGACTACCATCCTGGGGTTCTGCCAGAAGTGCGGGTCGCCTTCTTTGTGGTCGTGCCCCTCCTCGGGGTGGTCACCCTGTTCCAGTAAGCCCACGAACGCAATCTTGGTCGGCTTGCCGGCAACTTCCCAGCGATCTGCCTCTTCCAGGTCGTGCGATTCCAGAGCTATCACTTCGCCAGCCGCTGAGTCGGTGATGAAGATCCGGCCCGGGGCCGTTGCGATGTGCGGTCGCGCCCAGAAGCTGGGATCGATCTCAGCTCCCAGGATGTCGGATGACGCGGCCAGCAGGTCCAGGTCATGGGCCTCGTACATGCGGACTTCGCCGTCGCTCATGACAATCAGCAACAATTCGCCATCGTGGCTGATCGTCACCTGAATAGGTCGCAAGTCCTCATTGGCCGGAATCAACTGCTCCATCTCGCCGGCTTCGGGATCCACCACGTATAGGCCTACTGCGGATCCCAGGGCGAAGAAATGGTCCAATCCGGCGTAGCCCCAAACCGAGGTAAGGCGGAAGTCATCGGGCGAACGATTCGGGGCTGAAATGAAAGCGTGCTCAAACTCCCCATCGTGGGCCTCGATCATCAGCACCCCACCGGTGCAGCCGAAAACGGCCATGTGTCCATTGCCCGCGTCGCCGTGCAAGTCCGGACAGCCTTCCGCGCTGTACAGCACGTTGCCCTCCAGGTCGCGTATCTCCGCGCCGATGGGTAATCGGTAATCGCTGGGGTTCAGAGCAAAATCGGGATGTGGCATGGTGACGGCGATGAGGTCGTCTTCCAGCGGCACCGCGGCTCCGTGGTGGGGGCCAGCATTGAGTACCACGGGTTCGTAAGATGCGCCCGCTTCTTCCAACTCGTGCTCGTTGATGAGGGCGATGTCTCCTGACCCATCGTAGAACACGGCAGCCCACTCTCCCCCTACGTACAGGTGGACCGGATTGTCGCCAGGCAGATCAATTCCCAGGCGGCTGACCTCTCGTTCCACCAAGTCCTCGTGGTCGCCATGCTCCTCCAGGTAGATGCCGCCGTCGATGGCATGGATATTGTTGGCGTCGCTTGACACGGCAATCGCGAACCTGCCGCTTTTCGTCGGATAAATGCGGCCGGCCCGGGAACCCAGGTCGAAGGCTCCGTCTTGAACGGTCTCGGTTTCAAGATCGATCACCGCCAGCGATCCCGTCTCACCATCACCGACCAGCAGCCGGCCAGCCAACTCCAATTCGTGCTCCTCCTCCTCGTGGTGGTCGCCTCCCGGGAAGGGCAATTCCACCAGTTCCTGGGGTTCCAAGCCTTCCGATGCGACCACTTGGACGGCCTCTCTTGAGGCTGCGTTTGCGATTAGGGCGTCGACCTGGCTCGCGAGGCCTGCGCCGTTGCTGACGATGAGGTCGGCCTGGGCGATACGCACGCTGTCGCGCGGCGTGCTCTGCCAGGTGTGAGCGTCGGCGCCAGCCTTCACCAGCGTATCGACGCTCACCAACTCCCCTCCGACCTGGCGCACCAGGTCGGCCAGCAACACGTTGCTAGCTACCACGTTGAGGGTCTCGTCCGGCGACGAGCTTTCGACGGCCGGAGGCGGCGCCGAGGTTGGCGCGGGATCCGCGGCCGCGACCTGCGGCGGCGAAGGTGTGGCGGACGGATCTGCGGAGGCAGGGACGCCCTGATCATCGCCCGCACAGGCCGTCAGCAGCAGCAGCACAACCGCCGCCACTGCGGCAATCATTGCCAGGCTCGTACGCGTCGGGAAAGTGTTGGCGCTGGGTGGGGATCGTCGAATCAGTGGGTTCATCGGTTTACTCCGTTAGCCTTGGTTTCAATTGCCTAGCCAATCAATACTATGTATCAATACAGGCTGTATATGATGCTTGGTATCACATGGTCGGATATAATGAGATGCGGTATCGATTACGCGTTCATAACGATACCTGGTATCAGTGACAGGGTCAAAAAAATTGTTTCGGCTCAGTCTCCGGCGCACTCAGCGCATCGACCGTACACTTCCAGCCAATGCCCGCTCATCCGGAACCCCGCTGCTGCAGCAGCCTCTCGCAGCATGTCCTCCACATCACACCCCTCCAGGTCCGCTGATGCTCCGCATACGGCGCACAGCAGGTGATGGTGGTGTCCCTGGTGGCTCAGTTGGTAGCGCAGCTCCCGGTCCTCCAGGAGCACCCGACACACCTGGTCCGTCTCCACCAGCAGGCGCAGCCCCCGGTACACCGTCGCTCGCCCCACGCAGGGCAAAGAGGCGCACAGATCCTCCGCCGTGAAGGGCCGGCCCTGCGCCGCGACCGCGCTGATGACCAGCCGCCTCGGCTCGGTGTCACGGTAACCCAAGTCGCTCAACTGGGCGACGATGTCGTCCACCACCGCGGCGCTTCGCGGCCGCGGGTGCTCGTGTCCTGAATGTCTCGGCGTAGTCAAAACCATAATGATACCGCGTATCGAATATTATCAACGTGTTTGGCTCATGTCAACATGTGAGCGCCGGTTCCTGGTACTGGGTTATTTCGATCGCCGGACAAACCGCGTTGCGGCGGCGACGGCAATGGCACGCCAGGGAGGTTCGGGGCGCGAGCGTGACATGGGATATTGAATTGCTCCAAGCAGCGCCGACAACGTGGTTGCCGAAAGCTGATTGTCATGTCGCGTCGCTCCGGGAATAGCCCGAGGCAGCAGGCCACAAAATGGGCGCGTCGGCAACGAAACCGGCGACTTCGGCGGCTGGATTCCCGCGGACGTGGGAAAGACAGCCAAGGGGGTTGCACCGGCTCGGGGCGGGTCGCGGCGACGAGATTGCCACGCTTCGCTCGCAATGACAGTTTGGTTGCTCGCAATGGCAGTCAGGCGGTTCGCATGACTGCTTGGAGTGGGGTCAGATGGCAAGGCGAGGCGGCGTCAGCGGATGGGGTGGTCCTCTGAAAGGGTGGGTGCACGTGGGCGGTGGGGCGTGGTTGGCTGGGGTTGTCGACGGGATTGCCACGTTGCGCTCGCAATGACATTTGACCGTACCGCTCGCGGTGTTATTTGCGTGGCTTGTGGTGACTATTGGGGTGACCGCGATTAGATCATGGCAGGTTGAATGGCCCGGCGTGAGCCCGGTCAACCTTGACGATGCCATCCTGGCGGGCGTATATTCTGCGCATCATCCCTGCGGGAGGCTGTTATGCCTATCTATGAGTACGCCTGCACTACCTGCGGCCACAAGTTCGAAAAATTGCAATCTATGTCTGCCACGGGCGCCGATTGCCCGCACTGCGAGCAGCCTGCGAAGCGCGCCATTTCAGTCTTCGCCGCTGTCAGCAAGGGCGACAGCTTCGCCGGCGACATGGCCGACCTGGGCGGTTCTCCGATGCCCTCTCCCATGGGCGGCGGAGGATGCGGCGGTTTCTGTGGCTGCGGTCATTGATCGACGCTGAAGCCAATGAATTGAGGGCGGGTTCAACACCCGCCCTCGTTTATTTGCGTTTTGGCGATTGGGGTTAGTCCGCCGCCATCGACAATCGCTGGATCTCCGCTGCGGCTTCGTCAGCCGTGTCCGCCCACGCAGCCCGCGCCTGGGCCAGCAGTTGCCGCGACGCGTCGGGGTTCCCCTGCACGGCCTCGGCTTCCAGCCGGCCCATCCAGTAGGTATCCCGCACCGACGAACGCCGGGACAGTCTTTCGTCCAGCATCCCCTTGGCATCGTCGTACCTGCCGGCCCGGATGTACGTTTCCAGCAGGGTGTCCTCGAACACCTCTCGCTGGGCGTGGCTCCCGCCGATACGCGCCAGCACGGGGTAGGTCGGACCCATCAGGTCCGCCGCCTCGTCGTAGTCTCCGGCAACGAACGCCGCCGCGCCGAGGGCGATGGGCAAGGTCATCTCGCGAGACAGGTCGTCGCCCTTCTCGCCCTGCGCCGTCAGCCGGTCCACCATCTTCTGCGTCGCTTCGGCGTCTCCGGCGCCGGCGAAAGCGAGGGCCGCATGGCAGTCGCGGAATGCCGCGCCGGGGCCGTCGGCAGCCGGCAGCGCCATGTCCCGCACCTCGTCCCAGGGCTTCGCCGGCTGCTCGCCCGAGTAGATCTGCAACCGCCACAACAATGACGCCGCGTCCTGCAGGTTCGACAGGTTGCGCGCCTGCACGCCGGGGCGGATGTGCGTTTCGTAGAGGTCCAGCGCCTGGCTGTACCGCCCCTGCGCCAGTTCGAACAGCGCGAGGTGCCATGAAAGGTGCGTGTTGTACGATGCCCGCCGGTCGAAACCATCGAGCCAGTCGCTCAGCCACCTTCCGCCGTTCGCCGCGTCACCCTGCTCGAAGTACGAGTGGGTCACCGAGTGAGACGCCACCGCGTTCTGAGGGTTTCCTTCCAGCGAACGGGTGGCCAGGTCCATGGCCTTTTCCGGCTGGTTGGTTTCATGATGAGCAAAGGCGTACTGCCCCAGGAACGCCCAATCGTCGCCGTTGGCGGGCGCCACCTTGCGCATCATCGCCATCAGGTGATTGGGGAAGTCGGGCACGCCGGCGCCGAAGCAGCCCAGCATGTACAGGCGCTGTCCCACCCGCAGGGCCAGAGTGTCCGTGGGGAATTCGTCCAGGTGCTCGTGCACCAGCCCGATGGCCTCCATGCCCTTTCCATGGGTGAAGCAGTGCACGATCCTGGCGACCTGCCGTTCTTCCTGGGAGCAACCCGCGGACAGCTCCACCGCCTTCGTCGCCGCCTCCCGCGCTGCCGGCACGTTCATCTGCAGATGCAGGACGTAAGCCAGGGCTACGTGGGCCATGGCGAAGCCTTCGTCGGCTTCGATCGCCTCCTGAAGCTTGGCGTCCGGGCCGTAGTTCTGCGACAGAACCAGGTCCAGCCCTTCCTGGTACCGGTCAGCCGCGGCCGGCGAGTTGGTCGTGATCGTCAACCCGTTTCGGCTCTTCAACATCGCACACATTATTCGCCCTCCTAATCAGGATTATTGGCGCCCAGATTACCACAGCCGGCACGATTATACCGCCCCCTGTTCTTGCAGGTCGGCCAGCTCCTCGCGCGTCAGTCCGCCGAGGGTGCAAAGGATTTCCGCGTTGTGCTCGCCGAGTTTTGGCGGGGCGCTCACATCCGAAGCCCGGCACGCCGTCAGTTGTATCGGCGTCGCCAGCGACCGGAACGACCCGCCCAGCGTATCCCCTGCGTCCACATACATCCCCCGCGCCTCCAGTTGTGGGCAGTTGGCGAGATCGGCCACGCTCTGCGCGACGCCCATGGAGAACCCCAACTCCGTGAAACGCCCGGCAACCTCCCACTTCGGTCGTTGCGAAGACCACTCCTCGATGGCGGGCACCATCTCGTCAAACACGAAATCAGCATCTGGAAACTGCTGGAGGTATCGCTCGTCGCCCGCCGGCAAATCGGTCCTGCCGATCAAATCCCACAGACCCGCCAGCCGTTGCGGACTCCGCACACCGGCCATCACGACGTACCCGTCCGATGCGCGCAACGCGAGTCCCGGATTCAGCGCCGCCTGTCGAGTCCGTCCCGGAGCGTTGCCCGTGGCTTGGTAGGCGTTCATGTTGCTGATCACGTGGGACGCCATGCACTCGTACATCGCCACGTCCACGTGCTGGCCGACACCGGATTGCCGGCGCGTTTCCAGGGCCAGGACAATGCCCAAGGCCGCCCAGACGCCTGGAACCGAGTCGCCCATGTTGTCGCCCACCGCCTGAGGCGTCCCGCCCGGTTCGCCGGTGAGGTCCATCCACCCCGCCATCGCCTGTATCGCCAGGTTGTTAGCCGGCCAGTCCGAGTACGGGCCGCGGGCGTCGGGTCCGTCGCCGTAGCCGGTGATCTCCGCATAGATCAGGCGCGGGTTGATCTCCGTTAGCCGTTCGTATCCTAGGCCCAGCCGGCGGAATGCCCCGGGGCCCCAGTTGTCCAGCAGCACGTCCGAGTTAGCCACCAGGCTTTCGAATGCGGATTTGCAGGTCGCGTTACGCAGGTCCAGCGTCACCGACTTCTTGTTCCGATTGATCCCGAGGAAGCGGCTGCTGATTTGCCCGGTATCGGGATCCCCGATGAACGGTCCGCGGCCTCGAGCCAGGTCTCCCGTCCGCGGCCGCTCGATCTTGATAACCTCCGCCCCCATGTCCGCCAGTATCTGCGAGCAGAACGGCCCCGCGACGATATGCGTCGCGGCGAGCACCCGGATGCCTTCCAACGGGAGGGGGAGTCCGGCAGATGTGTTGGCGGTGGCGTTGGAATTCTCTGGCATGGTCGGCGGTCCTCGCAGCATTCAATGGTCGTGGCACATCCACGGGCAGTGAGCCGAAAGGTTACTACAAATACTCCGCCAGCGACCGCATGGCCGCCCGCGCGCCCTGTCGCATCGGCTCGAAATGGCTGAAGCAAAGCACTTCAAAATCCAGCTCCGCCAACTTCCGGACCGACGCTTTCGCCGCCTCCATGTCGTTGGAGAACCACCGCGACGGCAGTGTCAAACGGTCGTGGTACCGCTGCACCGCGTCGCCCACGATGAGCACGCCCTCCTCGGGAAAAAGCAGGCTGATGCTACCCGGCGTGTGCCCCGGCGTGTGCACTACTCTGGCGCCACCCAACAGCGGCAGCACGTCCCCTTCGTTCAGAGCGCTTGCCACCGGCACGTGAGATGGCGTCATCCAGGTCATCAGTGGCCACATGAACGGACGGAGCCAACGGGGCGTTACAGGGTTGGGTATCTTCTTCCCCGCCTCCCCCGCCAGGTACGGTGCCTCCAACTGGTGCGCGGCCAACGGTGCCCCCGTAGCTTCTTGCAGCCCTGCCATCCCGCCCACGTGGTCCGGGTGATAGTGCGTGGAAATCAGCTGTCGCACCGATCCCGGGGCGTAGCCCAGCCTCCCCAGGTATTCCAAGACCCGTCGGTGGTGGTAGAGCCGCCAGCCCGCGTCAATGATGGTTACCGCCTCTTTGCCGGTTTCGGGATCCGGGGTGAACACCAGGAAGGCGCTGGTGGTCAACAGGCCTCGCTGGTGGAGGCCCGGTATGACCTCTCCGACCCGCGCGCGGGGGCCCGGTATGCTTGGCCTTCGGTAGATCCTGACCTTGCTCATGGCGCAATTGTGTTACGAGGAGGCGGCCTTAGCCGGATGCCGCCGAGGTCGCCGACTATCGCAGGTCGATGACCCGCCGAGCCTTGAACTGCGTCCGTTCGAATTCGCCCTCGGGCCTGAGCTCGACGGAGACGCCGACGCCCAGTGCTCGCCGTAGGGTATCCCGCACGCGATCACGCAGGGCCTCCAATCCCTCGGGACCGCCCTCACCCGCAGATGCCCAAAGGCCGGCGGACACCTCGGTCTGCACCGTCAATTGGTCCAGGTAGCCGCGTTCCCGCGCCACCACCAGCCGGAATTCCCCGCCGAACTCGTCCAACCCGCGCAGCACATCTTCCACGCGTGAGGGGAACACGTTCTGACCTCGGATAATCAGCATGTCGTCCGCCCGGCCATAGATCCCCTGGGTAAGGGTCGGATAGGTTCGCCCGCACGGGCAGTCCGCCATCTCCCAGCGGGCGATGTCCCCCGACCAGTACCGGATCATCGGCTGCGACTCCCGCTCCAAATGCGTGTACACCGGCACTCCCTCGCCGCCCATTACAACCGGCTCGCTGGTTTCGGGATCCACGAGCTGCGTATACACGATGTCCTGCCACAGGTGCATCCCGCGCGCCAAGCGCCGGCACCCGCCGTTGGTCATCCACGGCGTCATCTCGGCCATGCTGCCCTGGTCCACCACGTAGCAACCGAAAGCATCCTCAATCGCCTGCCGCGTCGCCGGTACGCTGGCCCCCGGCTCCCCGCTGAAGAACATCAGGCGGAACCCAAAGTCCGTACGCGGATCGACGCCCATCTCCCGGGCCGTCTCAGCGAGATACAGCGCGTATGACGGTGTGGCGTAAAGCGCCGCCGGCCGCACCATCTGCGCCCATTCCACGGCTCGCTCTGTCTGACCGGGCGCTCCCGCCCCGAAGGGGAAGCACGTCGCGCCCAGCCGTTCCGCGCCTACCAATGCTCCCCAGCTGCCCACGTACAGGCTGAACACCGCCGCCACCATCACCGTATCGGTTGGCCGCACTCCTGCCGCCCATAGGATACGCGCGTGCGCCTCGCCAATCCGCTCCCAATCGCCCTTGCTGATGCCAAACACCGTCGGCCGTCCCGTGGTTCCCGATGTCCCATGGATACGGTGAATGTCATTTTGAGCTACGCACAGGAACCTGCCGTACGGCGGATATGCTTCCTGCTCGACCCGCACCTCTTCCTTGGTCAGGATGGGCAGGCGGGCAAACTCCTCGAGGCTCTGGATGTGCGCGGGGTCAACCGGGGCGTCCCGCCAGAACTCGCGGTAGAACCCGGATCGTTCCCAGGCGTAGCGCACCTGGCCCTGGAGCTTCTGCAGGATCAACCCGTCCCGCTCTGCCGGGTCCATTGTTTCCAGCCGAGCGTCCCAGTGCTCGGCGTCTGGACCGGGGACGTACTCAGAGTCGTATTGTGGAGGCCAGGACATCATCATTCACCTGACGACAGTGCGGAATGGATGAATTCCACCATCTCCCCCGTGAAAGTCCCCACCGGGAACACGCCGTCCACTCCCATCTCTCGCAGCGGTTGTACGTCGCCGTCGGGTATCGTCCCCCCGACTAGCAGCATTACGTTGTCCTCGGTAGAGCTTCCGCGCAGCCCGTGCCGGTCCAGCGCGTCAACCATTCTCGGCATCAGCCGCAGGTGCGCTCCTGACAGGATGCTGATACCGACTACGTCCACGTCCTCTTGCGCTGCCGCCGCCGCAACCTGGTCCACCGTAACGCGCATGCCGAGGTAAACGACCTCCATCCCAGCGTCCCGCAGCGCTCGCGCGATCACCTTCACCCCGCGGTCGTGCCCGTCCAGGCCGAGCTTGGCCAGCAAAACTCGCGGCGGATTGGTTGGTCCATCCCCAAACGCCGACGCCATACGTCACCTACCTTCCATCGAAATACTGGCATCGTCCCCGAGCACTCGCAGGACGACTCCGGCTACGATCAAAACGGCAAAGCCAATCGTGGGCGCTGCCTGCGGACCTTCAGCGGTTCCCAGGCTGATGATTACGCTGGCAATCAGGATAGCGGCTATTCCCAGGCACATCGTACCCAGATCGCCGAGCATCTTTCTCATCGGCGCAATTTCACGGCGATGATCGCCGTAATAAATCCCAAGGACAACCCTGCGCCGCCGTACGCCAATGGCAACAACTCATCGACGATGTACCGGTCGGCGCTGAATGCGCTGAAACCCAACCAGTTTCCGGCCAGCATCACCCAGCTAGACCCAAAAAAAGCGGTCAACCATACTGTGACGAAAATTGCCAGTGGATTGTTCATAAGGTGCGTCTCTGATGTCGCAACCACCGTTCCGTACGGACAATATACCGCACATCCATCCCACCCGCCTAAAACACCCCCGGGTCCACGTACTCTCCCCATTCTTCTCGCAGCGCGCCCATGATTTCTCCCTCCGTTACGCCGGTTCCCACTGCGGTCAGGATTGACGGCATCAGGTTACCGTCTGCTTTCGCGGTTTTGACGATGTCCCGCAGGCTCGTCGACGCGTCGGCCTCGCTGCGACCCTGGCGGACGGTGGTGAGCCGTTGGATTTGGCGTTCCTCCTCGGCATAGTCGAACTCGAACAGCTCCAGACCGCCCGTGTTGTTGGCGTCCCCACTGTATTCGTCGTTCACTCCGACGATGGTGTAGTCCCCCGACTCCACCCGTTGCTGGTAACGATAGGATGCCTGCGCGATCTCGCTCTCGATGTACCCGCTGCCGATGGCCTCCAGCATCCCGTCGAGCATGCTCCCGTTCCCCATGCCGTCGATGCGCTCGATGTATGCCATTGCCGCCCCTTCCAGCTCGTTGGTCAGCGTCTCCAGGTAGGCCGACCCGCCCAGAGGGTCGGGCGTCGCCGCCACGCCCGACTCGTGCGCGAGTATCATCTGCGTTGCCAGCGAGATGCGCATCGCCTCTTCGGACGGTATGTCGTAAGCCTCGTCGTATCCGCTGACGTGCAGCGACTGGGTGCCGCCAAGCACGGCGGCCAGCGCCTGCAGGCCGCCCCGCAGGATGTTGTTGAGCGGGTCCTGGCGCACCAGCGTCGATCCCAGCGTTTGGGTGTGGAACCGCATTCGCATCGACTCCGCTCGGGTCGCGCCGTAGCGGTCCCGCATCAGCCGCGCCCACATCCGTCGCGCCGCCCGGAACTTGGCGATTTCCTCAAAGAAGTCGTTATGCACCCCAAAGAAATGCGACAGCCGCGATGCGAACGCATCCACCGGCAATCCCCGCCGCATCGCCGACTCCACGTATGCCATTCCCTGCGCCACGGTGAACGCGAGCTCCTGCACCGCGTCGGAGCCTGCCTCGCGGGTGTGGTAGCCGCTGATCGAAATTGTGTACCAGTTGGGCACGTGTTTGGTGCAGAACTCCACCACGTCTGTGGTCAACCGCAACGCCGGCCCTGGCGGCAACGCAAAGGTCTTCTGTCCGTGAAACTCCTTCAGCGAGTCGTTCTGCACCGTCCCACGCAGCGCTGCCCAGGGCGTTCCCTGTCGCTCCGCGTTGTGCAGGAACATCGCGAGGAGGACGATGGCCGGGTGGTTGATGGTCAGCGACACGCTGGCCTGCTCCAGCGGTATTCCGTCGAACAGCTCCCCCATATCGGCGGCCGTATCGATGGCCACGCCCAGCCGACCCACCTCGCCCTCGGCTAGCTCGTGGTCCGAGTCGTATCCGGTCAGCGTGGGATGGTCGAAGTCCGTGCTCAGCCCGGTCTGCCCGTGGGCTAGCAGGAACCGGTACCGCTCGTTGGTCGCCTGGGCCGTCCCGAACCCGGCGATCTGCCGCCGCGTCCACAGCCGGCCGCGGTACATCGTGGGGTACGCGCCGCGGGTGAAGGGGAACTCGCCCGGGTTGCCGAGTGCCTGCGCCGCGTCGAACCCGCCGGCGGCCAATCCGGCCGGAGTATAGAGCGGGTCGACGGGGAGGCCGGAGAGGGTGCGGGGGTTGTGGTCGTTGCTGTTAGAACTCATGGATCACACGCTTCCAATTCAGGTTTTGTGGTTGTCGGTGTCTGTGACCTCGAGCGCAGCACGAGAATGTGGCTGGGATGCACCGGGGCTGACCATGCGACACAACTTCCCCCGACGGTCATCCGAAGGGAAACGGTTCGCGCTCGATGATTGCGATGTTGTCGGGCAAGTTTGCCATCCACCGGCGGATGGCGGCCTCGTCCTCAGCCCCGATACCCCGCCGCCCGATATAGTCGGCAAGAGCCCGCTCCAATTCCGGTTTCGTGACCGGCGTCACAACGTGTGGAGGCAGCGTGTCGGCGCAAATCCCGTTGACCTCCCTGCTGTGGGTGAAGCCAAACACTGCATCTTCATTGTCGCGCGGAGGCCACAGGTGATCGTAACTGATCACATCGACCAAGGCCCACGTCACGTCTCGCTGCGTCATGCGTTTTCCCCATCAGACCAGTCGCCATCTGCGATTTTCCAGCACAATCAGGCCATCCCGCTTCAACTGCTGTTGGGCGTTGCGTACGTCGTGCTTCCATCTCTTGCCGAACGACTGCCCGTTTATCACCCTATCCACCTCGTCGTCGCAAAGCTCTGGTTTGAGATCTCGGACCAACGGGTTGATTTCACTGGTCGGCAGCGGTCCTTGCACACGCAACACATACTTGACCGCGTCTGCCAATTGAGCAGTGATCGAACGTTTCGGGTTAATCGCGAACTCTTCGCCCGCAGTCCGGAGTTGAACTAATCGCTCGTCGATTCGGTTGACGATAGCTTGATATTTAGTCCCTGCAACGCCCGGCGCAAATTGGTTAGCGAAGTTTTGCTGTTCTTGGGCCCGTCGTACCAACATACCCAGGTCAGTCAGGTCATCGCATGGCACCAAGACGCCCAGATTTCCGTACTCCGTCAAGTTGTCGACTATGTCCTTGACGGCTGGCGGTGCGGTGATGGCAAGCCCCAGTTCGTGATTGCGGTAGAGACCTCCGTTGGTAAGGTTGGACGAGGTGACAATCGCGAGGCGTTCATCAGCGACGTAGGCTTTCGCGTGCAGGTAACGCAAATGTCTGACCACCGTGTTTGGTACGCGTTCGCATAGCCATGCCAACGCTCCAACGTCCAACGAACCGCTGATTGCATTGTCCGCTGCCAGATTGGTCAGCAAGTTCAGACGCACTGACCGCCGCCTTATGCCCAACTTTGCTACCAATCGTTCAACCGGCGCGCGAGTGATGAACGGAGCCGCGATGATCGCGGAGTTCCGAATCGATCCGGCGAACTGGTCAAACGTGGCGGCCCACGGTGATCTGATGCTCTGCATACGACGTCCCTCGGCCATCATTGCAGGTGTATTATTGAGCTAACGAAATACGTTTCGCAAGCTGCGAGCGTCGTGTTTGGGGACGGTGTTCCATCCCAACAGCGCTCTACCGCGAGCAATAGAAAAACGGCTGCGGCACCTGAAAATGGCGCCGCAGCCGTTCAGCGATTGCCGAGACGTTTCATTCTGGCACAGCGGCGGACGCCGGCTCCGCCGGGGTTTTGACCAAGTCTTCAATGGGCATGCCCGAGTGTTCATGCAAAACCTGGGCGACTTCCGCGGTGATCGCCGTTTGGCCCGAGATCATCGCGTCCAGCCGGTCGCTTCCCCCGGCCAGGGCCTCCATACGTTCTTGAGACACCATCAGCTGGTCAATCAAAAATTCGATCAGTGAGCTGGGCTCCGGGTCTGCCATGGGATAGCGCTCTGCTTCGTAGATCTCTACCAGGCCGGACAGTCGGTCGAGTTCCTCTCCTTCGGGAGTATTCAGTTCCGCATCGAGCAGCTCGGAAATCCGCGCCAGCGCCGCATCATATTCGGCTTCATTCTGGACTCGGGTAATCTCTGACATGGTTACACCCCTGCGGCGTCGATAGCGTCGTATTCCGCGTGCGTGCCAATGAACCGGATATAGACCACTCGGTAAGGGTAATTTACCTATACCACCAGCCGGTACGTGTTGCCTTTGATGTTGAACACCGCCCGGTTCCCGGCAATAATGCTGGCGAGAGGATACAGTTCACGGATTTGTTGCGGCGCCTCCCAAATTGCCTTTACAGCCGCCTTATACCAGCCAAGCAACGGCTGGCGTGCATCGGGATGCCGCTCCCAGAACTCGCGCAATGTTCTTTTGGCGACAATCCGCATGGCGTTCCCCGGTTACAGGCCATTATAGCGAATACCGTTGATCGCTGTGCTGCCCGCCTGTGGCGACGCGGAGCCGATGATAGAATGAATTTGTAAAGACCCCTTGCTCCCACCTGCCGGAGAGAAGGTAATGAACACTCTCAAAACGTTCTTCCTCCTCATGATTCTTACCGGGCTCCTGCTGCTCATTGGCGGCGCCATCGGTGGTGAGATGGGTATCATCATCGCCCTGGTATTCGCCTTGGCGTTGAACTTCGGCGCCTATTGGTTCAGCGACAAGATCGCCCTGAGCATGGCCCACGCCCGGCCGATCACCGCTGACGATGACCCCCAGCTTTACCAACTCGTGGCCGAGCAGGCCCGTCTGGCGAACATGCCCATGCCGAAGGTGTACGAGATCGACGAGCCTTCACCCAACGCTTTCGCCACCGGACGCAACCCCCAGAATGCCACCGTCGCCGTGACCAGCGGCATCCGCCGTATCCTGACCCGGGAGGAACTAGCCGGCGTCATGGCTCACGAGATGGCCCACGTGGGCAACCGGGACACACTGATAATGACCGTTGTGGCCACCATTGCCGGTGCCATCACCATGCTGGCTTTCATGGCCCAGATCGCCGCGATATTCGGCAGCTTCGGCGGCCACGGGGACGACGACGAAGGCGGCGGCAACATCATCACGCTGCTCATCCTCGCGATCATCATGCCCATCGCCGCGACCATCATTCGCATGGCCATTTCCCGCGCCCGCGAGTTCCAGGCCGACCAGACCGGCGCCCACAACTGCGGCAATCCCGAGGCGCTGGCCCGCGCTTTGGAAAAGCTCGAAATGGGCAGCGAAATTCGTCCCATGAAGGTGAACGAGGCAGCCTCCCACCTGTTCATCGTCAACCCCTCAGCGGGCGTTCGATGGCCCGCATGTTCTCCACGCATCCGCCCGTCGAGGAGCGCGTTCGCCGGCTGCGCGATATGACCGTGCGGCCCGATTTGGTTCCGTCGACCGCCCCAACTACGACATGCCGGACAGCAGCGACCGCCCCAACTTCTGACACGATAGCTCCTTCTGGTTGGCCGGCTGGTTACCGCTTGGCGCATTCGGCGGAGACCTGATCTCCGGCGCGGCGATCCGGCTCGGTTGTGCTATCATGCGGCCAGCGGCGCATTGCCGTCCGTTTGGCACCCCACGTTACGCTTTTAGCGCAGTTGAGGAGGTTATCATGGCCGGAAATTACACTATCAGTGTCGGCACCGTGGGCGGCGGTCTCTCCGTCAGCCCCGACGGCGGTGAGACCTGGAACCGCATCCGCAATCCCCTGCCCACCGAGTGCAATATCCGCGCGCTGGCTGTCGACCCCAGCAACCGGCATCGCATCTATGCTGGAACAGACAGCGGCCTGTACCGCTCCGATGACAACGGCTTCACCTGGGATTACCTCGAGTCTCCCATGGATGACCTGCAGATTTGGTCCGTCGGCGTAGACCCTGACGACTCCGACACGGTCTTCGTGGGTACCCGGCCCAACGCCTTCCGCTCCCGCGACGGCGGCCAGACCTGGGAGTCCCTGGACCTCGGCGTACGTATGCCCTGCCCTATCGGGATCCCGCGGACTACCAACATCATCGTGGACCCTCGAGACACCCGCACCGTTTGGGCCGGCATTGAGGTGGACGGCGTGTATCGCAGTCTGGACGGCGGCGACAACTGGACCCGTCTTCCCGACCTGGGTCCCGACCCGTTCCACGGTGACATCCACGGCATGGCCCTCAAGCCGGGCCCCGACTCCGCCATCTACTGCACGACTCCCTTTGGGATTTCCACCAGCAACGACGAGGGCGAGAGCTGGGAGCTGCACGAGTTCCCGCGCTTCCACGCTGAGGACACCCGCTCCTATTGCCGTGGCATGGTCATCCATCCCGACAACCCCAGCGTCATGTTCGTCGGCAACGGCGACACCATACCGGGCGTCACCGGCGCGATCCGCCGCACCCGCGACGCCGGCTCGTCCTGGGATGCTCCGCAGCTGTCCACGACGCCCAACTCTGTGGTGTACTGGTTTGCCGCCAACCGCCATGTGTCCGACATCATGGTTGCCGCCAGTATCTACGGCTACGTCTATGTCAGCAGTGACGGTGGCGACAACTGGGACAAGCTTCAGAAGGAGTTCGGCGAAATCCGCTCCCTGGCCCTGACACCCAACGAGTAGACGAACCTATTCTCGCCGAATTACGGGGCCCTTCTCCTGCCGGGGAAGGGCCCCGTTGATGCTACAATTCCGCCTGCCGGCGCGACCGGGCGTGCGACCGGGCAGGCGAACCTCCGACGGCTTCCTGTCAGTTCGGTTTCGATCCCCCGCTGGCCTCCGGGCCGTTCCAGGACAACCCGACAATCGTCCGCGGCCATAACTTTGCATCCAGGGAGCTCATCGATGCCTACTTTCGATTCCGACGGCGTTCAGATCTTTTACCAGTCCACCGGCGAGGGGTTCCCGTTGATCTGGAGCCACGAGTTTGCCGGTTCCTACGAGAGTTGGGAACAGCAGGTGCGCCATTTCAGCCACCGTTACCGTGTGATCACCTACAACGACCGTGGCTATCCTCCGTCGGACGTTCCCAACAATCCCGAGGCCTATTCCCAGGACATCACCATCGAGGATCTGCGACGGCTCATGGACCACCTGGGTCTCGATCAGGCCTACATCGGCGGCCTGTCCATGGGCGGCAACGTTGCCCTGAATTTCGCACTGCGCTACCCCGAGCGGTGCCGCGCCATCATCGTTGCGTCGGCGGGCTCCGGCACCACGCACAACGAGGCCTTTCGCTCCGGCGGGGAGGCGATGGCCGCCCGACTTCTCGCCGAGGGCACTCCCCCGGTCATGAAAGACTACGGCAGCGGGCCCACGCGGGTGCAGTTGCAGCGCAAGGATCCGCGGGGATACGAAGAATTCATGCGCCTGCTGTTCGGGCACAACGCGCGCGGCTCGGCCTACACCTTCCGCGGTGTCCAGTTGCGCCGGCTAACCATGGACCAGTTGGTGCCCCAGATGAACCAGCTCCGGGTGCCCACCCTCATCATGATCGGCGACGAGGACGACCCGTGCGTCGAACCTTCAATAATGATGAAACGCGCCATTCCCCACAGCGGATTGGCTGTTTTGCCGCAGTGCGGCCATGCCATCAACTTGGAAGAGCCGGCGTTGTTCAATCAACTGGTCGCCGATTTCCTCACCGCCGTCGAGGCTGGCAAATGGGCTGCCCATCCGCTGGGTGATACGCCCTACAGCACCGGATCGCGGTAGCTGTTCCAGTCGGGTGGCGCCGGAGCCTTTGGCGGCCGCGACGGCTCAACCGAAATCCGACGTGTGGCTCCCGCGGGTGGTCGAGGCTAAAACTCCACGGGACGCAGGTAGCTCATATCCTGCCGACGTTCCAGGTAGCCGGCCCGGGTTTCGTGACCGTGGGAGAACACCAGGAGGTGCCCCTGACGCTCAGCCTCCGCCAGGACGATGCGCTTCTGATCCAGAGTGGTTTCGGGCTCGTAGTCGAAGGATGAGATTATGGTCAAGCCCAGGTGATGCGGAGTTGGGACGAGGTCCCCGAGGTACACCACGCGCTCGCCTCCGTAGGTGAACACCGCAATCTGGTGTCCCAGGCAGTGGCCATGGGTGACGAGCAAGTTAAAGCCGGGAAACAGTTCGGTGTCCCCATCCAGCAGTTCCAACTGCCCCCGGTCCGCTATCGGAGAGAAATCCTCCACCCGGAATGCCTCGGTGTTGCGCAGCGAGGGGTTGTGCGCGTCTTCCCAGCTTGCCCGCTGAACGTAATAGGTCGCTTTGGGGAAGGAGGGCACCATGTCACCCAGGCGGTCCATGCGGGTCGAGCCGCCGGCGTGGCTGAAGTGCAAGTGGGAGAGGACCACCGCATCAATGTCTCGCGGACCCAAACCCAGACCTTTGAGGCTACGCATCAACCGGCTGGGGACCAGGCCGTACATTTCCTTGTCGCGAAAGTTATCCTTGGGGCCCACGCCGGTGTCCACGATGATCTTCTTGCCAGCGCACTCCACCAGCATACAATTCAGACCCATTGTGACCCGATTTTTGCGGTCCGTCGATACCAGGTTTTCCCACATCATCTTGGGTACCGACCCGAAACTGGACCCCCCGTCCACCTTGAATACTCCGTCGCTGATGATTTTTGCAGCGCTTACGGTCATATCTCAATCGCTCCTAAACAACTGTATTGGTATCGCCGCCCGTTCCCACGTCACCGCGTCCACCCGTCCACCCGTTCGTAATTCTCCGCAAGGAAAATGGGATAGGCTATCTGTAGGCCTTATGCGGCCATTCCACCAGTCAATCCGACTGTGCCTATCGTCGGTGCTATGGGGACTACTTTACAACCCCGGGCGGAATTGGTGTCAACCCAAAAAAGCGAATAATTTTGATTGATTTTCGAAATTGTACCAAAGGCACGCGAGTCCCAGAGCCGGTGGCGACGTTCCGATCTGCGACGGCATGTTGTACCCGGCGCGGCTGAAACCGCTCCCAACTTCAATCCCAATGCACGTATGAGTCAGGGTCCGTAGCCGATTGCCTTCTGAACCGCAGGGCCCGCAATTGCCCGTGAACGCATCGACCCGACCCCCAGACTCGCCGACGCTGCGCCGTAGGGTGTCCAATTTGCTCGATCCCCAGGCAGGGCGACGAGCCTGGGGAGTGGGCCTGACCCGGCCAGAAAGGCTCATTCCTGGTGGAAGCCGATCTGGTGGCGGTAATTGTCATTAACTCGACCTCCCCCTGATTCTCTGGACGGTTCCTCGCTTCCGCGCCGAGCATGACGTCTGGTTCCACATCGTCGAGTACATCACCGTGGCCGTCTTCCCGGTGGGATGTGCCATGAGACTATGGTCCGCACCGGAAGACGACCGGACCGGACCGGCTTGGCGTCAGAGATGGCGATAAGTCAGTTCGCCGGTCGCCCTCATCGACGCCGCAGCCCTGGCGCCTTCGGCCGTGGCGGCCGGCCGGCTCCTGACTACCGGAGGTGGACCCAACCTGTCCTTTCTCCCGGCGGTGCGCCTCCTGACCCGGGCGGTGAAGTTGGCCCGGTATTTCCCCGGAGGCCGTCTGATTGCCGTGGTGGTGCGCCAAAAGGCGAGCCAACTGCTCGCGGCGGCGGGGGACCGCTGCTGTTACTCCTGATCGCCGCCGCTTTGATGTACTTCGCCGAAACGAACGCTCAGCCGGAAAACTCTCCAGCATCCCGGCGGCGATGTGGTGGAGCGTGGTGACCCTCACCACCGTAGGATACGGAGATACAGTACCCGTTACCCCGGCGGGCCGGGTCCTGGCTGCCGTGATCGCAGTCCCGGGAATCGGCTTGTTCGCGCTCCCGGCAGGGATCCTCAGCGCCGGGCTCCTGGAGGCCAATATCAACAGCCAGGCAACGCCGGGTAGTGGAACGCCGACTGCCGACCGGCCGTTTTGCCCCCACTGCGGCCAGCCCATGCCGGAGGCGGTTCCGGATTAGGCGGCCGATAACTTTTCCGCGGCGGCTCCGAGCCTTCGCAGCACCCGTTCCTGTCCCATCACTTCCATCATTTCGAACAGCGGCGGCGTTGCCGTGCGCCCGGTTATCGCTGTCCGCAGAGCGCCGAAGAACTGCCGGCCGGACAACCCGAGTTCCTCACCGGTCGCCCTCAGAATATTTTCAAGGTTTTCGTGATCAAATTCGATGGCCGGCACTGACGCGAGGTCGGACTCGGCCCGTACCACAGCGGCGTGTGTGCCCACTGAGTCCATGCCTCTTTGGATCAGGCTGGCCGGGTCGTAGTCCAACGTTTCTTCAAAGAAGTAGGCCAGCATGTCCGGAGCTTCCGACAGGGTCTTGATACGTTCCTGAACCAGCGGGACGATCCGCCGCAGGTAATCGGGGTCGATGGGCAATAGCGCCGCGCGATACTCCCGGTCCAGGAACGGGAGTATGCGGTAAGCCAGGTCGTCATTTTCCGTTTGACGAATGTAAACGCCATTCATCCACTGAAGCTTGTCCAGGTCGAAGATCGCCGCCGGCTTGCCCACGCGCTCCAGCGTGAAGTTGTCCCGTATGGTGTCCGTGGTCATCACCTCGGTCTCGCCGTCCAGGGACCACCCGAGAAGGGCCATGAAGTTGATCAACGCCTCCGGTAAGAACCCGTCATCCCGGTATTCCATGAGGGAGGTGGCTCCATGCCTTTTCGACAGCTTCGCCCGGTCCGAGCCCAGGATCATTGGCAGGTGTCCGAAGGTTGGCATCTCCAATCCCAACGCGCGGTACAGCTGCACGTGGCGAGGGGTGCTGGGGAGCCACTCTTCCGCCCGCAGTACGTGGGAAATCTCCATCGCGTGGTCATCCACCACAACCGCCATGTGGTACGTCGGAAACCCGTCCGATTTGACCAGGACGAAATCGTCGGTCAGGTCGTTCTGCCATTCCACGTGCCCGCGGATCGAGTCTTCCACGGAGGTTGCGCCGGACTGGGGCATGGCGAAGCGGAGTACGGAGGGGGTTCCCTCCTCGTCTTTGGCCTGCCTCTCGTCGTCCGACAGGTACCGGCAATGGCTGTCGTAACCCTGACGTTGTTTGTTGCGGGCCTGCTCCTTGCGCAGTTCCGCGACCCGTTCCGCGGGACAGTAGCAGCGGTACGCGTTGCCCGACGCAATCAGCCGTTCGGATGCTTCGTGATAACGCGCGAGCCGCTCGGACTGAAAATACGGCCCGTAGGGACCGCCGACGCGCGGGCCCTCGTCCCAGTCAATGCCGAGCCATTCCAGGCCGTCGAGGATGTGGTCCACCGCGCCTTCGGTGATCCTGCCCTGGTCGGTATCCTCCACCCGCACGACGAATTGCCCGCCGTTCCGGCGCGCAAACAGCCAGTTGAACATGGCGGTGCGGATGTTGCCGATATGCGGGTTGCCGGTGGGGCTGGGCGCGTAACGAACGCGTACGGGCACGGACACGGCGGTTGGCCTCCTTTGGTCCTTTTCTAGCATTGATACATCACCCGAAAATCTACAACCCTGCGATACCGGGCATCGCGTTCAGCGCGTGTTCTGCCATATCCGCGCCAGTATGTCAAAAATTCGCCTGCGGACTGGAAGACACCGTTCCCTTCTTGGAAATCTCGGAGGGTTCCGGAGATGCTTCCTATGTTCGTGGTATTTCCGCTACCGGCTTTGTCTCCCGAAATACGCCATTTCTCTTGCATGAATACCTCCACATCAGTGAATGGCACCGGAATTGTGTCTCGAATGGCGGGGGTGTAGATATAGGTGGCGGCAGCGGGATCAACGTCTACTCGACGATAGACAAACCCAATGATCCAGTGCGCGGCATAGTCGTTGAACGGAAACAATATGTTTTTGGTCCCGTTGCGCATAAACCTAGTGTAACTGCCTAATGTGAATGCAAACTTATCGTCTGCTGCTACTTTATACGTCGTTTTTACATCGATAGCGATCTTATTCGGGTCATCAGTCCCGGTTGCCAAAGTGAAGTCTGGATAGTAGTTCTGCTTGTCGGGTTCGAACATCCTAATCCCCTGCCGAATAGCATAAGAACCCACTGCTCGCCGAGCGATATTCTCGAAAATGGTACTGAGGACTTTGGTATCAGAACTTAGCGGATATATTCGTCCCCGACGGTCTATGATGCCGCACACCCCGTAACCGTTTTCCAATCCGGCTAAATGGTTGAGGATATATTCTTTCATCCGATTACCAGCCCTTCCTGCATTGCATGGCGGAGCGTTTCCGTAGCGCCCAAATGGTAGTAGTGGGCGAATGTGGCGATTTCGTAGCCCGCGAACCAGTCGAACAGCCGCTCGTTACGGCGGAACCGATTCTCCACCCACATTGAATACAAGAACCGGCACGGCGCACCTTTGAGCGCTTGGGCCAGTTCGTATCCGTCCTGCTCACTCCAGCCGTTGTAGTAGTCAGTGTAGCGACCGGAATAGGGAGGGTCGGCGTAGATAAAATCTTCCTCTCCAACTTCACCGATAGTCTCGCGCCAATCAGCGCAGACGAACTCCCAATCCCGCCCCCGCATAGCATCGCATGTCCATTGCACCTGATTGCAGATTTTCGTGATATAGGCTTGGCGGAACCGCTCCGGCTTTTTGCAGAAAGGGGTGTTGAATCGCCCCTGCCGATTGAATCGCATCAGGCCGTTGAAACAGGCCCGACTGACAAACAAAAAGTCCAGGGGGTCGCCCTCGTCGTTGAACCGTTCCCTGATCTGATAGTAACGATCCGCGCCCTCGACCCGCAGCCGCTCGCCCTCCCGCCGCAGAAACTCTTCCACGCGGGAAACCGTAATGCTTCCGTTTTGCACTGCCCGGTAAAAGTTGATGATGGGAACGCAGGAGTCTGCTACCAACGCCCGGCGCGGCTTGACGTTCAGCAAAACCACTCCAGAACCCAGGAACGGTTCTACCCATCGGCCTCGCTGGTCCCAATCAATATGACTGGCAATGAAGGGCACCAGTTTGGTTTTGATGCCTTGGGTCTTAATGGGAGGCGCTTTGGGGTTGAACGGAGGGGAAATCATGTGTCTAACTAGTCCCGTCGCTGGCTGATGCGGGCCCAAGTGTCGCGCAGCGTCGTGGTGCGGTTGAATACCGGAGCCTCCGGTTGCGTGTCGGTGTCAGCACAGAAGTACCCCAAACGCTCGAATTGGAAACGATCTCCGGCCTGTGCCTTCGCCAGCGCGGGTTCTCCCTTGGCGATTACCTTTTCCAGCGAGTCCCGATCGATCAGATCCAGAAAATCGGTTTCGCTTCCAGCGGGATCGGACTCCGTAAACAGGTTGTCATAAAGACGAATCTCAATCGGTATGGCGTCGGCCGCCGATACCCAATGAATGGTGCCTCGAACTCGCCGCCCGTCGGGCGCGGTGCCGCCGCGGCTCTCGGGATCGTAGGTGCAATGGACCTCGACGATTTCTCCCAGTTCGTCCTTCACCACGTCGGTGCATGTGATCAGGCAGGCGTAGCGCAGTCGCACCTCTCGCCCTGGCGCTAGACGGTAGAACCGTCGAGGCGGGTCTTCCATGAAGTCGTCCCGTTCAATGTACACCTCACGGCCGAAGGGTACGCATCGTGTCCCCATGGTCTCGTCTTCGGGGTTGTTGATCGCCTCAAAGGTTTCGCTGCCGGCTTCCGGATAGTTCGTGATCACCACCTTCAACGGTCGTAACACCGCCATGCGCCTTGGGGCTCGCCGGTTCAGGTCTTCGCGCAGGCAGTGTTCGAGCAAAGCGAGTTCGGTCATGGTGTTGCGTCGGGCCACTCCTACGCGCTCGCACATGTCGCGGATTGACTCGGGCGTGTACCCGCGACGGCGCAGGGCGCTGAGCGTGGGCATCCGCGGATCGTCCCATCCGGCCACGTGGCCCTCTTCCACCAATTGCCGCAACCTGCGCTTGCTCAACACCGTGTGGGTGAGGTTGAGCCGCGCGAACTCGATCTGGCGGCTGCGGTATACGCCCAGCGCTTCCTGGCACCAGTCGTACAGCGGCCGGTGGTCTTCGAACTCCAGCGTGCACAGGGAATGAGTGATCCCCTCGATTGAATCCGAAAGCGAGTGCGCGTAGTCGTACATCGGGTAGATGCACCAGTCCTTCCCGGTGCGATGGTGCTCCGCGTGGCGAATGCGATACAGCACCGGATCCCGCAGGTTCAGGTTGGGCGAGGCCATGTCGATTTTCGCGCGCAGCACGTACTCTCCGTCTGCGAACTCGCCTGCCCGCATCCGCCGGAAGAGGTCCAGGCTCTCCTCAGCCGGCCGGTTGCGATCTGGGCTCTCCTTGCCCGGCTCGGTCAGCGTCCCGCGAAACTCCCTGATTTCGTCGGCGGTGAGGCTGTCGACGTAGGCGTTGCTGTCCCGTATCAACTGCTCAGCGTATTCGTACAGTTGCTCGAAATAGTCGGACGCGTAAAATAGGTTCTCGCCCCAATCAAACCCCAGCCACTTCACGTCGGCGAGAATCGATTCGACGTACTCGATGTCCTCACGTGTCGGGTTTGTGTCGTCGAACCGCATGTGGCATCGCGCGCCTTGGTACTGCTCGCCGACGCCGAAATTGAGGCAGATCGACTTCGCGTGGCCGATGTGCAGGTAGCCGTTGGGTTCAGGAGGAAATCGCGTTACGACGCGCCCGTCGTAGGCTCCGGCGGCCTGGTCTTCGTTGATGATGCTGCGGATGAAATCAGTGGGGAATTCCCCGGCGCCATTGGTTGGATTGGTGCTCATGTTCCGGTTGCCTGTGCTACGTGCCTGGTTCGTTGGTCAGGGATGTCACCAAATTATAGCGCACCATCTGAAACGCAGAACGCCAGGACCGATGATTTCCGGCTATCGTCGCAGCGCGGCCAGCGCCGTTGAAAGCTCTGCCGGCAGATCGGCGCGATGTTCCGTCCACGCGCCGGTCACCGGATGCCGGAAGCCCAGCCGCGCGGCATGCAGAAACTGCCGGCTCGTCAATGTACTCGCGTTCCCGTACACAGCGTCACCCAGCAATGGGTAGCCCAGGTATGCCAGGTGCACTCGGATCTGGTGTGTTCGGCCCGTCTCAAGTATGAGATTGAGCAGGGTGTGACCGGACAAATCCTCGAGGGTTTCGTAGTGGGTGCGCGCTGCGCGGCCGCCGGCGCCCACGGCCATCCGCTGCCTATGGCGGGGATCCCGGCCGATAGGCGCGTCGATTGTTCCCGATTCTGGAGTGACCAAGCCCACGCTCACGGCGAGATACTCCTTGCGGAACTCCCGGTTTTTCATCTGCTCGGCGAGCCGTTGGTGCGCCTGCTGCGTTTTGGCCGCCACCATCAGGCCGGACGTGTCGAGATCCAGCCGGTGCACGATGCCGGGCCGCAGCTCCCCGCCAATCCCGCGTATATCGGGACATAGCGCCAACAGCGCGTTGACGAGCGTCCCGTCGGGATGGCCCGGTCCCGGGTGAACCGGAAGGCCCGCCGGCTTGTCCACCACGATGAGGTGCTCGTCCTCAAAGACCGCGGGTACCGGTATGTCCTGGGGGATCAGGTCGGCCGGAGATCGAGCCGGCGGCACACATACCGTTACGGTATCCTCGTGGCGGACGCGTTGTGATGCGCGGGCAACGCTCCCATTTATCGCGATCAAGCCGCCGGCCGCCAGAGCCTGTAGGCGGCTGCGTGACAGCCCGGCGTCAGCCAGTTGCGGCAGTTGAGCCAGCCAAGCGTCCAACCTCGCTCGTTGGGATTCGCTGCCCACGACGAACTCGTAACGCTCGCCCTCGTGGGTTCCGGTTTCGCCGGCGCTCACCTGCCACGCTCCTGGAAACCGAGGATGCGCTCCCGAACGCCGCAGTCCGCGCAACGGGCGCCGTTGGGCAGGCTGATCATGCGAGCCTTCGCAGATGGGGCAGGCGGCGTAGGCGGCAGGGGCGTCCGCGGCCGTTGGGACGGCTTGGTCCCGATTCAATACCAGCACCGAGGCCATGATGATCAATCCAACGACTATCGAAGAGTCGGCGAGGTTGAACACCGGCCACGGTCCGATGTCAACGAAATCGGTCACGTGTCCCTGCCAGATGCGGTCCACCAGGTTTCCCACAGCGCCGCCGAGCATCAGCGCGATACTGACTCGCATCAGGATGCCGGGCCGTTGCTGACTTTGGTAGATGAACGCCAGCACCGCCACGCCGACCACGGAAACGATCAGCAACGGAAGGTTCTGGTCTTGCAAAAGACCGAAGGCGCTTCCGGTGTTCTGTACGTGCGTAAAGCGGAAAAAGCCGGACGCCGGCCAGGAGTAATGCCACTCCAGTGTCTGCCGCACCACGAACTTGGTCAGTTGGTCCAGCGCCAGGGCTAACGCCGCTAGTTGGAGCAGGGTCCAGTCCCGATAAATCGGTGTGCGTTCTCTCCGAGGCTTGGACATGGCCTACGGTTGGGTCAAATGGTCCAGGAAGAATTGCACCACCTTTTCCGCCATCTGACCCTCCTGCCCGACCCAGAAGTGGTCCGCGCCGGCCACCACGTGAAAATCGGCGGGAGGATTGAACTTGCCCAGCTGTTCGTCGACGCCTTCGGCGTTGACCAGTCGGTCCCGGTCGCCGGTAATGATCATCCGCGGCGTCTTGTCCGACTGGAGCGGGCTTTCCGTGATCGCTTCTATGGATGGTGCAACCAGTGCGATGGCTTTGGGCTTCTTGTACAACTGCTGGTGGGCGCAGATGACCCGCGTGCTGAACGAATAGCCGCCCAGCCCGATGCGGTCGTCGTTCACATCCGGCAACGCCCCGAGGAAGTCCATTGCCACCAGCGTCTCTTCGTGCTCCTTCTCCCCATGGGCATGCTCGCCCTGGCTGTTGCCCACCCCGCGGAAATTGAACCGAAGCGAGGCGATGCCCGCGTCTGCCAGCCCGAAGGTGACGGCGGCCACCACGTTGTTGTCCATGCTGCCGCCGTGCAGCGGATGGGGATGACACATCACCACGCCGGGGAAGGGACCTTCCCCGTCCGGCAAAGCGATGATGCCCTCGAAGGTCATTCCTTTCGCTATGAAACTGACCGCGCTCTGTCGCATGTTGCCGCCTCCGGGTGAATTTGTGCTTATCTTGAAGGTTGAAACATGATAGCAGGTTCCCAGAATGGGTGATCCGGCAGGCGCCATTTTCCGTTGTGCTAGAATGGCGCCGGCCCGGCATCCTCTGGGCAAAAGCGAGAATATTGACCGATTTTGGAGGCTCTATGGCTGTCATCGACCTGCGCAGCGATACCGTTACCCACCCCACCGACGAGATGCGCCGGGCGATGGCCGAAGCTGAAGTCGGGGACGACGTGTTCGGGGAGGACCCCTCAATCAACGCTCTGCAGGAACGCGCCGCCGAGTTGCTGGGTCAGGAGGCCGGCCTGCTGACCGCCAGCGGGACCATGAGCAACCTGATCGCCGCTCTCACCTGGTGCAGTCGCGGCGATGAGATGATCATGGGGCAGGAAGCTCACATGTTCTGGAACGAATCCGCGGGTTCCTCCGCCCTCGCCGGCGCCCAGATCCGCCTGGTCCCCAACGACGACAACGGGCGCATCGCCGCCGGGGATGTGGCGGCTGCCATCCGCGACGCCTCCAACATTCACGTTCCCGCGTCCACGCTGGTCTGCTTGGAAAACACCCACAACCGTTGCAGCGGCGGCGTGATGACCCCGCAGGACACACGGGAAGTGGTCGATGTTGCCCATGCTGCCGGCGCAGCGGTCCACCTGGACGGCGCGCGTATCTTCAATGCCGCGGTGGCGCTGGAAGTTCCGGTGGCCGAGCTGACCAAAGACGTGGACGATGTCAGCTTCTGCCTCTCCAAGGCCCTGTCATGTCCGGTGGGTTCCGTGCTCTGCGGCTCCGAAGAGTTCATCACCCGCGCCCGCAAGTGGCGCAAGATGGTGGGCGGAGGGATGCGTCAGGCCGGTGTGCTGGCCGCGGCGGGCCTCGTCGCCCTCGATTCGATGGTGGAGCGCCTCGCGGACGATCACGCCAACGCCCGTCGGTTGGCCGCCGGCCTCGCCGATGTTGATGGCCTGACCGTCGATCCCGATAGCATCCACACCAACATCGTCATATTTGAAGTCGATCGCGAGGCGGTCGGCGACGCCCGCGAAGTCATCGCAGCCTTGCGCGAGGACGGCGTGCTGGTCAGCCACAGCCGCGAGCAGTCGCTCCGCATGGTCACCCACCGGCACATCTCTTCGGCGGACGTGGACGAAGCGGTCGCCCGCGTCAATGGCACCGTACGCCGTTTGGCCGCCGCCGGCTAGAGGTTCAGCATGGCTGATTTCACCATCGACCGCGCAACGACTGCCCTGCTCATCGCTGATTTCTACGCCGAGGCTATGGGCAGCCTGCCCCACGCCGTGGAGCGGGGTGTGGTGTCGCGTACCGTCGGCCTCCAGAGTGTCGCCCGCGAGGCTGGCCTGATGGTCTGCTACTGCGCCACGGTGTTCCGGCCCGGGTATCCCGAAATCAGCCAGCGCAACAAGACGTTCAGCGCCCGCAAAGCGTCGGGCCAGCCGGCGGTCTTCGACCCGGTTTCCATCATCCATCCCGACGTGCGCCCACGCGACGATGAGGTGGTCGTGGGCAAACACCGGGTCAACGCGCTTTTCGGCACCGGCCTCGACGTCGCGCTGACCGCGAACAATATCGACACGATCATCCTGCTGGGATACGCGACCAGCGGAGTCGTACTATCCACCACCCGTTTCGCCTCGGACCGCGATTACCGCCTTTATATCGTCGAGGATTGTTGCGCCGATAGTGAACCGGACGTGCACAATTTTCTCATCGACCGAATTCTCAGCCGTCAGGCGGACATCGTCTCTGCTGACGAGGCCATCGCGGCTATCCGCGCCTCCTGAGACCGGCGCGCCGCTGCCTCGCGCCGTCCGTTGACGACTGAGCGGGTTTTTGCCTCATGCTCCGGCAATCCGCATCGCCCACCGCCGAAATCAGCGTAGCGATTGACTCACGCCCGCTTTACGCCGGGGACACCCTGGATGTGGAAGTCCAGGTAACCCCTCACGTTTCTTTCGCGGCCGCTTTGGGTGTTCTCAGGTTGTCCCGAATCGAGTTGATGCGGGTCGATTCCGCGCGTGACGCCATTCCCCAGATGATGTTGCCCGGCAGGCGCGGAGCAAGGAACCCGGGGGGACCCGCTAACATTGACCAGGTGTTCGCGGAAGACTTGACGATGGAGGGCGGGGTGCCGCAACGCTATCCGGTTCGTCTCAGGTTGCCCGACGCGGCCCCGCCCACCGTCAAGGGCAAGTATGCCTGCATCTCGTGGGAGCTGTCAGCGTCGATATTGACCCGTGCCGATTGGTTGCCCACGGGTGACGGATGGTTGGCCGATTTGGCGCGAGGCAAGGCAGCCCACTGCGAACAGGAATTGGTCGTGTTCAGCCGCTCCGAAACGGCCGCGTTGCGCGGCGAACCCTTGCCTGAAGAGCTCCAGGCCACCAGAGAGTATCGCAACGTCATTCTGGACCTGTCTCTGGACTCTGCACAGGCGGCCAACGGCGGCATCGTGACCGGTAGCCTGTCGGTCAATCCCCGATCGGCTCTCAGGGCGCGGGAGCTGCGAGTTGAACTCATGCGTTGGGAACGTTCGGGAAGCAAGCAGGCCCGGGTCATCGAATCCTGTCAGGTCTTGCAACGGCCCGCGATATTCGCCGCACACGAGGAAACCGACTGGGCCTTCCGGTTGACGGTGCCCGACCCGCTCATGCCTTCTGTCCTGGCGGCCCATACTTTTGTCGGTTGGCAGGTCAGGGCGGTCATAGACCGGAAGCTGCGCCCCAACCCATCAGTGTCCCAACTGCTGCACGTTTATACGTCCCCGTGACAGCCATCCGGCTCACCCCGATGGCAGGAAGTCTTTGCCGTCGGGCCCGTCAGCCTCAAGTTATCGCCTGTTTGCTCTAGCCGCCGTTGCCCCACCACCGGCGCAACCGTTCAGCAATCGCCGCCTCCGAACCCTGGTCCGACGGCTGGTAATATTTGCGGTCGGATAACTCCGGTGGAAGATATTCCTGCGCCTCGAAGTGTCCCTCGTAGTCGTGGCTGTACTTGTACCCCGCGCCGTATCCCATTCCCCGCATCAGCCCGGTTACGGCATTCCGCAGGTGCAAAGGCACCGGTTCGTGAGGTTGCCCGCGCACATCGTCCATGGCGCGTTCCAGGCCCAGGTACGCCGCGTTGCTCTTCGGCGAGGTCGCCAGGTAAACCGTCGCTTCTGCCAACGGGATGCGGCCCTCGGGCAGTCCGATGAAATGCACCGCCTGCTGCGCCGCTACGGCCACCGGCAGCGCCCCGGGATTGGCCAGCCCGATGTCCTCCGCCGCCAGTATCACCAGTCTGCGGGCGATGAACATGGGGTCTTCTCCGGCCTCCAGCATCCGCGCCAGCCAGTAGAGAGCGCCGTCCGGCGATGATCCGCGGACCGACTTGATGAACGCCGAGATGGTGTCGTAGTGGCTGTCGCCGGCCTTGTCGTACTGCGGGGTTCGCCGCTGTAGGGCGTCCGCTATGCCGTCCACTGTGATCCGACGCTGGCCGTCCTGGTCCGGGGCTGCGGCCACCGCCGCCATTTCCAACGCATTCAGCGCCACTCGCGCGTCACCGTTGGCGATGTTGACCAGGTGAGCCATTGCCGCCGGTTCCAGTTGCGGCGCCAACGCTGCCAAGCCGCGACGGTCGTCCTTCAGCGCGCGTTCGGCGATAACCGTTACGGCGTGGTCATCAAGGGCGTTCAGGGTGAACACCCGGCACCGGGAGAGCAGAGGGGCATTGACCTCAAACGACGGATTCTCGGTGGTCGCCCCGATGAAGGTGATCGTCCCGTCTTCTACGTGCGGCAGGATAACGTCCTGTTGCGCTTTGTTGAAACGGTGGATCTCGTCGACGAACAGGATCGTCGATTGCTGGTAGAGTGCCTGGCGTTCCTGCGCGCCCGCCACGGCTTTGCGCAGGTCAGCAACCCCGGCCGACACCGCGCTGACCGGTTCGAAGTAGGCCCGGGTTACGGTAGCGATCAGCCTGGCCAGGGTCGTCTTGCCCGAGCCCGGCGGCCCCCAGAACAGGATGGAGGGCACCCGGTCGATGTCTATCGAGCGGCGCAGGACCCGGTCCTCGGCAAGGATGTGTTCCTGCCCCACGAATTCATCGAACGTGGCGGGTCTCATCCGCTCCGCCAGCGGGGCAGTTTCCTGGGCGTGCCGTTCACGCCCGTGTTCGAACAGCCCGCCGGCATTTTGCCGGCCAGTCATCATCAGCCTCGGAAGTGCGGCATCACCTCTTCGGCAAACAGTTTCATCGACCGCCCCACTTCCTCGTTGCTCAACATTCCGCCGATGTTGAACCAGCACATGAATTCCTGGGGTTGATAAAGCTCCTGGAACTGTTTCAGCCGCTCGGTGACCTGTTGCGGGTCGCCGATCGCTCCGAGTTCGTCGCAGATGCCGTCGTAGGTGAGCTGACTGGCGCGGCTGGAACCCCGCGAATTGTTTTGCATGCTCCGCAGGGTGTCCAGGTAGTTGTTTACCGTAGGCGCGAAACTCGCTCTGGCGTCTTCCGTCTTTTCTCCGACGTAAACCGGCACGCTGACCACCACCTTCGCGGCCGATTGATCGTGCCCGTGTTCCGCCAGAGTATCACGGTAATGAGCCAGCCCGTCGCTGACTCCCTGCAGCGTGACGATCAGCGGTGTCACCAGGATGCTGTGGCCCAGGCTGCCAACCAAGGGGAAGGTGTCAGCGCCGTTCGACGCGACATACACCGGCGGATGGGGCCGCTGTATCGGTTTGGGCTCCAGCCGGATGCCCTCGGCCTGGTAGAACTTTCCGGCGTAGTCCAGCACGTCTTCCTTCCAGGCACGCAGCGCCAGGTCCAGGCCTTCGACGAATCGGTCGTTGCGCTCCTCGATTGGGATCCCGTATCCCCGGTAATGGTTGGGATTCGATCCCCGCCCGATCCCGAATACGGCTCGTCCGCCCGACAACACGTCCAGCGTCGCCACCTCTTCCGCGATGCGCAACGGATGATGCAGCGGCAGCAGGTTGACGGCGGTGCCGAGCTTTATCTGCTTGGTAGTTTGCGACAGCGCCGATGCCATCATCAACGGCGCCGGCATTACCGAAAACCGCCGGGCGAAATGCAGTTCGGCCAGCCACGCCATGTCGTAGCCAAGTTCGTCGGCCAGCTGCACCTGCGCCATCACATCCGCATACCGCCCGGCCGGAGTTTGGCCTTCGCTGCAGGGGATTTGATAGAAGACTCCAAACTCCATTCTGTTCACGCTCCGAGGAAGGGGGTGATTTTCTGTCCCAACAGCCGGCGATCCACGCGCCGGCGCGATTATAGCGGGATGTTCCCGTGTTTCTTAGGCGGCAACGTGTCTCGCTTGTTCTGCAACATTTCCAGCGCGCGAATGACGGTGGCCCGCGTCGCTGCCGGATCAATCACGTCGTCCAGGTAACCCCGATTGGCGGCGACATACGGGTTCGTGAACCGTTCCTGGTAGTCGGCGATCAGCTCGGCTCGGCGCGCGTCCGGGTCTTCCGCGTTGTTGATCTCTTCCCGGTAGATGATATTCACCGCGCCGTCCGGACCCATCACGGCGATCTCGGCGTTGGGCCACGCGAGGTTCACGTCCGAGCGCAGGTGCTTGCTGCTCATCACGATATAGGCGCCGCCATAGGCCTTTCGCGTGATCAGCGCAACCTTGGGCACGGTGGCTTCGGCGTAGGCGTAGATGAGCTTGGCCCCGTGTCGAATGATGCCGCCGTATTCCTGCTCCGTCCCGGGCATAAAACCGGGCACGTCCACCAGCGTTACCAGCGGGACGTTGAAGCAGTCGCAAAACCTAACGAACCGCGCCGCCTTGGCCGACGCGTTGATGTCGAGTACGCCGGCTAGGTACGCCGGCTGATTGCCGACCAATCCCACCGTGCGCCCGGCCATCCTTGCGAAGCCCACCACGACGTTTGGCGCGTACCCGGACTGGACTTCCATGAAGTCCTCGTCGTCAACAATGTGGTAGATGACCTCCCGAATGTCGTAGGGCCGGTTGGGTTCCGCCGGTACTATCGCGCGCAAGACTTCGTCAGCGCGGTCAATTGGGTCGGCGGAGCGGTACCCCGGGGGATCGTCGAGGTTGTTCAGCGGCAGAAATGAAATCAGCCGGCGCAGTTCCTCGAGGCATTCTTCCTCGGAATCGTGAACGAAGTGCGCCACGCCGCTGCGGGCCGCGTGCGCGTCCGCCCCTCCCAGTTGTTCGTGGGTGACGTCCTCGCCGGTCACCGCCCGCACCACGTCCGGCCCCGTGATATACATCTGGCCGGTCCCACGCACCATGAAGATGAAGTCGGTGATCGCCGGTGAGTACACCGCGCCTCCCGCTGACGGCCCCATGATGACCGAAATCTGCGGAACGACCCCCGAGTACATGGTGTTGCGCAGGAAAATGTCACCGTAGGCGGCCAGGCTCAACGCCCCTTCCTGTATCCGGGCACCGCCCGAGTCGCAAATGCCGATCATTGGGCATCCCGTTTTCGCGGCTAGGTCCATCACCTTGCAGATCTTTTGTCCCACCACCTCCGAGAGCGATCCGCCGAACACGGTGAAGTCCTGGGCGTAGGCGAATACCTGCCGTCCGTCGATATTCCCGTAGCCGGTGACCACCGCATCGCCCAGGAAGGTCCGGTCTGCCAGGCCGAAATCGGTCGTCCGATGGGTGACGAAACGATCAATCTCAGTGAACGTGCCATCGTCCATCAACGCCGTCAGGCGCTCCAGGGCGGTCATCTTGCCGCGCTGGTGTTGCTGGTCGATGCGACGTTGCCCACCACCCAGCGCAGCCCGTTCCTGCAACTGGTGCAGGTTTTCCAGGCTCGGGTTGGTGGTCGCTTCTTCTGGTGTGGACAATTCCAGCCTCCGTGGGCAATGCTAGCAAAACGCCCCGCGCAGCGGCAAACCCGTTCGGCAATGCGTGACGCCCTCGGCGGCTAAGTATAATGGTTCCGGGAACCACGCGCCCCACGACACAGGAGAACGATTTGACGGCAAACCAACAGCCCGCTGATCGCGTCGGGCCGGCCCTGTCCGTAGCTGACGGCGAACCCCTGGTTTGGGGTAGCCGCACCTACGTCATGGGGGTCATTAACCTGGCGCCCGACTCCTTTTCCGGCGACGGTTTGGCCGGCGACGTGCCGGCCGCGGTGGAGCAGGCTCGTCGCATGGAAGCCGACGGCGCGGACATGCTGGACGTGGGAGCGGAATCGACGCGGCCGGGCAGCATCCCCATCTCCGCGGTGGCGGAGGCGGAGCGGCTGCTTCCTGCCCTGGAGGCGATCTGCCGCGCGGTTCGCATCCCGGTCAGCGTGGACACCTACAAGGCTTCCGTGGCCCGGCAGGCCATCTCAGCCGGCGCTTCCCTGGTGAACGACGTTTGGGGGTTGCTCGCGGATGGCGCCATGGCCCGCGTCATTGCGGGAAACCGGCGTGCCGGCGATACTGATGCACAACCAAAGGGAAGCTCGATACGATGACGTGGCACTCGATGTGATCGCCGGATTGCGTCGGGTGGCCGACGTTGCCCGGGCCGCTGGTATACCAGACCGAAATATTATCCTGGACCCCGGCATCGGTTTCGGCAAGACCGCTGACCACAACCTGGAGTTGTTGCGACGACTGCCGGAGTTTCACCAACTCGGCTATCCGCTCCTGCTCGGGGTATCCCGCAAGTCCACCATCGGGCGAGTTTTGGGTCTGCCGGCGGAAGACCGCGTCGAAGGGACGGCCGCCGCCGTGGCCCTGAGCATCGCCGGCGGCGCGGACGTAGTCCGGGTGCACGAAGTGAAACAGATGGTGCGCGTGGCACGCATGGCCGACGCCATCGTGCGGGACTGGAGGCCCGAAGGTTGGCCGGACCGGTAACAGTTTATCTCGGCCTCGGCGGCAACCTCGGCGACCGCCTGGCGGCGCTGACCGAAGCCGTGCGTTCGCTCGCCGCCGACCCTGGGCTGCGCATGGCAGCGTGTTCCTCCGTGTATGAGACCGAGCCTTGGGGAGTGTCCGACCAACCGAGATTCCTGAACCTAGTCGCCGTTTTCGAGACCACGTTGTCTCCCGTTGACCTGCTCATGGTGTGCCAGTCCGTCGAGGCCACCGTCGGTCGAACCGTCTCCTACCGGTGGGGCCCTCGCCTCATCGACGTGGACATTCTCCTCTACGGCGAACAGGTCGTGAACATGGCGGACCCTGACCTCCAGATCCCCCACCCTCGTATGACACAGCGGGCCTTCGTTCTGGCGCCGCTGGCAGAGATCGCGCCCGACCTGGAAATGCCTTCGGGGTGCGATTCCGTCCCCGACTTGCTGGCAGTCGTTCCCGACAAAGCAGGCGTGGTTTGGTGGGCCGCGGCTCCCTTACAGTGACGCCCTTGCGGCGGAACGAATCCCGTCACCGGTCGGTTCGATACACGTAATCCTCTCCTGCGCCGGCTCGGGGTTTTGCGACTGAGGCCAACTGCGGGGCACCCGGGAGTGCCGGCCGCCTCCGCAGACGCTGAGACGAAAAGCCGCGCCGACCGCACAGACGAGGCTGACGATTGCAATCAAACTGATACGAGAAGTGATCGCCAAGATTCCCCCTGTCTCACGAAATTGTCTGTCTCGCCGATCTGACCGATGTCCTGCATCTGGGTTGTATGGTTGTCTTGCGGGTCAATTATAATCACTCAGTCAAAGTCGCTCTTTACCTGACGCCAGCGCGTAGCAGTGACCCTGACTGCAAGCGCCCAGGAGGCAACCACCATGTCTATCACCAGTCTGACCCGCAGCGCCGTTTACGGCCAAAACGGTATGATCTGCTCCAATTCGCCCCTTGCTGCCGCTGCCGGCCTCCGGGTTTTGCAGGATGGAGGCACGGCCTTCGACGCGGCCCTCGCGGTTGCGGCCGTGGAATCCGTAACGCTGGTTCCCGTTTGCGGCCTCGGCGGCGACTCGTTTATCCTGGCCTATGAAGCCAGTACCGGCCGGGTCACCAACATCAACAGCAGCGGAGTCGCGGCCTCCGGCGCTGAAGCTGAGTTCTACCGTAGCCAGGGCCTCGCCCTCATGCCCATACAGGGACCTCACTCCGTTTCGGTGCCCGGCGAGGCCGCCGCATGGGAATCGCTGCATCGCGGCTTCTGCACCATGCCCTTTGCGGATTTGCTGGCTCCTGCCATCGGTTACGCCGAGCAAGGGTTCCCGGTGTCTCCCCGTATCGCGCGTTCTTTCGCTGGCAACGCAGAACTCCTGGCGCGCTTCTCCGCCACCGCCGACATCTACCTCACCAACGGTGGCCGTCCGCCGCGTGTCGGCGAGGTGCTGGTTAACCGCGACCTGGGCAACACTATCCGCGCCGTGGCCGAGGGTGGAGCCGATGCTTTCTACCGCAGCGACATCGCTACCAAAATGGTGGATGGGCTCAACAACGCCGGCGGGTTGTTTACCGAGGCTGACTTCGCCGGACATCACGCCGACGTGGGCGATGCAATCAGTTCCTCTTACCGTGGGCACACCGTGTACCAGACCCGGCCGCCCTCCCAGGGCTTTCTCCTCCTGGAGATGCTGAACATCGTCAGCGGCCACGATCTGTCATCGATGACGCCCAACTCGGCCGACTCCATCCACCTGCTTGTCGAGGCGAAAAAGATCGCCTATTCGGACCGAAACCGCCTCGCCGGCGACCCCAACTTCATCGACTGGCCCGTGGACGGCCTGCTGTCCTCGGAATATGCCGACCTGCGCCGCGATCAGATCCATCCCTTCCAGGCCGGCGGCGAAGTGCGGCCGCTCACCCCCGTTGACGGTCGGGGCGACACCACGTACTTCTGCGTCGCCGACGGGGCCGGGAACGCGGTCAGCTGGATACACAGTCTGTCCAACGGTTTCGGGTCCGGCGTCGTCGCCCCGGGCACCGGTGTCCTGTTCAACAACCGCGCCGGGCGTGGTTTCAGTCTCGAACCCGACCACCCCAATGTCGTTGAGCCAGGCAAGCGCACCATGCATACGCTGAATTGCTACCTGACCACCGTGGGCGGAGAGGTGGCAATCGTCGGCGGCACCCCCGGCGGGGACTTACAACCCCAGTGCGGTATCCAGATACTTACCAAGCTGGTTGACGGCGGGCTGCAACCCCAGGACGCTGTGGAATCGCCGCGCTGGTTCAGCTTCCCCGGCACCGACCCCGCAACCATCAATCGGGCCGGCGAACTTCGCGTCGAGATGGGTATGCCCGACGACACAATCCGCGACCTCCGGCGGATGGGCCACAACGTTGTACAAAACCCGCTTGGTTCCTATAGCGGCGTGGTGCAACTCATTGTCCGCGACCGCCGCCACGGTGTTCTGGCCGGTGCGTCGGATCCCAGAGGAGACGGACAGGCGGTAGGCTACTGACGGTGGGCCGGGGGCCGATTGTCATCCGAGTTCACCGCAACGGAAACTGGAGGCTGACCGTTGCGGCTTGCATGTTGGTGTTGGTCCTGGCGGCGTGCAAACCGGAAATGCCGGCAGATCTGACCGTCGTCGATTCGACGCCGCCGGCGCGAACGACTTCTGCCCCGACCGTCACCATCGCGGCCCCTGCGCCAACCGTATCGTCGGACGCCGCTCTCCCTGCCCTGACCGACGCATCGCCACCCGGGTCAGCGTTGTCGGTTCAGCCGCCGCCAACGGTGTCGCCGGACGTCGTGGCCAGTACGTCCGAAAGGGCAGAGGAACTCACCAGTCGGCTGCTTCGGCTTCGCCGGTTTGACGCGGACTCGCTTTGGGCCGGGTTTGTTGTGACCAGGACATTAGGGATCGGGGGTCCGTGGGCGCCCGATCTGGAAGCTCCCGCCAAGCTGCTGGAGATGTGGCACCCCGGCAACGAGTGCTACGCAATGTTTGAAGTGGAAATCGCTCAACTCGGCCCGGATAAGCGGGTGCGACCGGAGGAAATTGGCCCCTATTTCGACCACTTCGCCGCACAGCTGTCTCCCTGCCTGGACGAACAACTCTCGGAGGTTGACGCTCAGCGGTTTTTCGAAAATGCCGAAGCGGTGCGAACGGAACGGGTTGGCGTCTGGTTCGACAGCATTTGGGCATATACCAACGAGGTGGCCCTGACGTCACACGACCATTGCCGGGAAGGCTTGTATTCGCATCTTCCCACCGCCGTACTGGCCGCTGACGCCCATGGTCTCGAAGCCGCCTGGAGCGCGGCGATGCTCGAGCTTTCCGCGTGCCAAAGCCAGGCAATGCGAGATGGTCTCCCGTTTCTGGAGCTGGGGGAAACCCAACTGTTCGCGTTCGAACTCAACGATCGGTACACCCTGATCACACTGCAGGCTTCGTTCATGGGACACATGCTGGCCATTGCCAAGAGCCGTCCTTATGAGGAATGCTGGCCTGACTACGAAGCCAAGATACCGCAAATTGCCGTGGCTACCAGCCCGGCACAGTTCGTCGATTACCGGGACATAGCACTCCGCGCGCTGCTCACGTGCATTGAGCAGTTGCCCGCCGCCGACCCGTTCGGCCGTCAGTGATGCCCGAGGTCGTGTGCGGGGAGCGCGACGATTGGTTGGCCCTACGGAAAATAGTAAATCGCCGGGAGCCCGCGGTATCGTTCGTCGAAGTCCATCCCGTAACCGACCACAAAGCGGTTGGGTATTGTGAACCCAACGTACTCGTACTGGACGTCCACCTCACGGCGCTCCGGTTTGTCCAGCAACGTGCAGTACCGTAATGAAGCCGGGCCCAGGCTGCGAATGTAGTCCTTGACGGCCAGGCAGGTATATCCGGTGTCCGCGATGTCGTCCACTATCAGCACGTGCTGGCCCGAAACATGGCCGGGGTCCAGCGTGCCCGCAAGCCTCACGTCGCCCGATGACTCCGTCCCGCTGCCGTAGCTGCTCGCCCGCACGAATTCGACCCGATGCACCTCGGCGCGCAACACCCTCAATAGGTCAGCCGTAAAAATCGCCGCACCCTTGAGAACGCACACGATCACCACCCCGGTAGTGGCGTAATCGCGATCAATTTCGCGGGCCAGCGTGGCGACGCCGGCCCGCAGTTCGTCCTCGGGAATCAGGACGGATAGACCGTCACGCCTCATCGCATTGGCCTGCTGATACCGAGGAATGGGCTAGAGGAATGGGCTAAACGTCCAGGTTCTGGACTTCCGTGGCGTGGCTTTGGATGAAGCTCTTGCGCGGGCCGACCTGCTCGCCCATCAGCATGGAGAACACACCATCGGTGTCCGATATGCTGTCCATGTCGTCGATGTCGCTGATGGTTACCTTCAGCATCTTGCGCGCCGCCGGGTCCATCGTCGTATCCCAGAGCTGGTCGGCATTCATCTCGCCCAAACCCTTGTACCGCTGTATCGATGGTTCCGACCGCGCCGTGGACATGCGCTTCATCAGCGTGTCCTTCTCATCCTCCGAGTACGCATAGGCGATGTTGCGGCCGCGCTGCACCCGGTACAGGGGTGGCTGGGCGATGTAGAGGTAGCCGCCCAGGATCAGCTCTCGCATGCGGCGGTAGAAGTACGTCAGGATGAGCGTACGGATGTGTGATCCATCCACGTCCGCGTCCGTCATGATGATGATGTGGTGATACCGCAGCTTGGAAATGTCGAACCCTTCGCCCTCGCCGGTGCCCACCGCCGAGATCATCGCCCGGATTTCCTCATGGCCCAGGATGCGCTCCACCTTGTCCAGGAACCGTTCCACGTTGAGGATCTTGCCCTTCAGCGGGAGGATGGCCTGGAATTGCCGGTCGCGGCCCATCTTGGCCGACCCTCCGGCTGATTCACCCTCAACAATGTACAGTTCGGACTTGGCCGGGTCCCGCTCGGCGCAGTCGGCCAACTTGCCCGGCAACGAGGTGCCGTCCAGCGCGTTCTTCCGCAGGACCAGGTCGCGGGCGCGGCGAGCTGCCTCCCGGGCCGCGTGGTTCGTCTGGACCTTGTCAATCACGCCCTTGGCCGCTGTAGGGTTCTCTTCCAGGAAGCGCGTCAGACCCTCGGACGTAGCCGTTTCCACTCGGCTGCGTACTTCGGGGTTGCTGAGCTTGTTCTTGGTCTGACCTTCGAACTGCGGGTCGCCCAGCTTCACGCTGATAACCGCAACCAGCCCGCCGCGAGTATCCTCGCCGCTGAAGGAGTCCTTGGCGTCTTTGAGGAAGTTCTGCTTGCGTGCGTAGTCATTCAGCACACGTGTCAGCGCCGAACGGAACCCGGCCAGGTGCGTCCCACCCTCAGGTGTCAGGATGCAATTGGCGAAGGTGCGCTCGTCGGCCGCCAGGTTGTCGTGCCCGTCGGTGTGGTGGTACTGGAAGGCGACCTCGACGTCCGCGTCATCGGCGATGCGCTGATAGTAGAACGGGTCTGGCATCACCACGTTGCGCTTGCGGTTGATGTTCCGCACCATGCTGGCCACGCCGGTATCAAAGAAGAAGCTACGCTCAATGTCGCCGTTTCGTTCCGCTTCGTGGAACTCGCTGATCAGGCAGATCTCCAGGCCTTTGTTGAGATATGCGGTCTGACGCAACTGGGCAACGAGCCGGCCAAAATCATACGTTATCTCGGGGAATATCTCCGAATCGGCGTAATAGGTCACCATCGTGCCCTGTTTCCGTACCCGTTGGTGCTGCTGCAGACTCGATGTCGGGATGCCTTTCTCGTAGTCCTGCGTGTAGCGCAGCCCGCCGCGGCACACTTCGGCGCGGAGGTGGGACGCCAGGGCATTCACCACTGACGCTCCCACGCCGTGGAGACCACCCGACACCTTGTAGGCGGTGCCGTCGAATTTGCCGCCGGCGTGCAGCGTGGTCATCACCGTTTCCAGGCCCGATACGCCGGTATCCGCGTGAAGGTCCACGGGAATGCCGCGCCCGTTATCCGAAACGCTGACGGCCCCATCCGAAGCGATGCGTACGTCAATGCGGTCACAGTGGCCGGCCAGAGCCTCGTCCACTGCGTTGTCCAACAGCTCTTTGATGAGATGGTGGAGGCCGTCAACGCCCGTGCTGCCGATGTACATGCCCGGCCGCACCCTGACTGCTTCCAGCCCTTTGAGTACTTGAATATTGTCCGATGTATATTCGGAGGAGTTATCTGCTGCAGGCAACACTACTTGTTGAGTCATGCTAAATTAATTCTCCGCTCTCGTGCCTCTGAAATTGCCAATATGACGAGGCCATTACTTTAGTGCAGTACAACAATATCCAGTATAGGCGCAAAGAACATTGTACCAAATCTGCCATCCTGTTGCCATGAGGCGGATGTCAGGAATTCTCCAATTTTAGGAAAAAGGCCACATCGTCGGCCGGGTTCAGGGGTTGCCCCGTTCCGGTTCGCATCAACCGTTCCGTTGCGGATCAATCGGAAAGCGTCACGCTGGTCCCTTGTCCCGGGGCGGGTGGTACCACTCGCCGGAAAATAGGCTGGAGATCGCTTGCCGCATGGGTTCAAACAGCGGTTGCGGCGGTTCTCGCAGCGGGAACCAACCGTATTCACCGAATGACCGGTCACTGGCTTGGGGAACCGGCTCCTGGCCGCCAATATCTCCTAGGAACTCTACGTCCACATAGTGGCGGTCATAAGCAACAATGTTACTCAGGCAAAGCACACGGAGCTCACCCACGGTAACTCCCAACTCTTCCAGCGCCTCCCTACGAGCACACTCCTCAAGAGTCTCTCCGAACTCCAGGTGCCCTCCCGCCGAACCCCACGTCGCTTCTCCGTGCGCGCCCCGCCGCTGCGCCAGGAAGACTTTTCCGCCCCTGACAAAAACTACACCTACGCCAATCAGAGGTCTGTCTGCCCGCGTACTCACGGCCGCAGTATAGCATGGTGTCCGGGTTCTTCACCCCGTAACCACCGCAGGGATGAGGTGCGGGCGTTGACGCGGCGGATGACGAGAAAGGGAAGTGGAACTGGCAAGGTTCGATTCAGACAAGTGGGGTTGAGGCAGTGTGCTGAGGCCACGTCACTAGCAGGCTGTTGAAATAGGGTGGTTCGATGGCGGTCGTGTCCATCCCATGTCCTTCAACATCCGCGGGTTCCAAATGGGTGTTGTAGAAACGACCATGTTCCCGCGGAGTGTGACAACCGCTTCAAAGCACATTCGACGGAACGATGCAGCAAAAGCGAACCGGTGTCGTGGTGCTCGGCGTCAAACGCCGGGTCGGCCTCCTTGAGACAGATCGCCAGAGGGTCAGCTATCCCCCATGTTGCCGAAGCGGAGTTGGACGCCGGATTTTTCTTCCTGAAGCTTGGCGACGGCGTCGGAGTCCTCGGGGCCCCAGCCGCGGAAGAGGGCTTCGACGTGGCGCTGGTCGACAAGGTTGGAGAGTTCCATGGGGATGCCGTATTCGCGGCCGAGGTCGGTGGCAAGGCGCACGTCCTTGGCGGCCAGGGCAGTGGCGAAGCCGGGCTCGAAGTTATCGGAGAACAGATAGCGCGGGAATTTTTCGGTGAGGCGACGGTTACCGCCGCTGCTGTTGGCGATGACGTCGGCGAGAGTCTCCAGGGAGACGCCTGCCTTGACGCCGAGGGTGAGGGCTTCGGACATCAGGACGCCGATGCCCATGGAGAGCAGGTTGTTGCAGATCTTGGTGACCATGCCGTTGCCGATCTCGCCGCAGTAGACGACGTGAGCGCCGATGGCGTCGAGCATGGGCTTGACGGTGTTGTAGGTTTCCTCATCGCCGCCGACCATGACGGCGAGGGTGCCGGCGGCCGCGCCGTACACACCGCCACTGACCGGGGCATCCAACACGGTGACGCCGCGGGCAGCGCACTCTTCATGGATGCGCCGAATAACGGTGGGCGAGTTGGTAGACAGGTCGACGTAGACATCGCCAGAGCCGGCGGCGGTCATGATGCCGTTCTCGCCCATCACCACGGCTTCGACGTCGCGGGGCACAGGCAGAGACGTGAACACCGCGTCGTTGCCGGAGACGCAGCCGGCTGGGGTGTCGGACCACTGGGCGCCCAGTTCCAGCAGGTTGATGGCAGACTCGCGACGGAGGTCGTGGACGGTGAGCTCATGCCCAGCCTTGATCATGTTGGCGGCCATGGGGTTGCCCATGTTGCCAACCCCGATAAACCCAGCTTTCATAGATGTTCGCTCCTGAAACGCCGCGAGGTGCAACCGGCGGCAAGTGGCCGAATTATAACACCGGGTACCCCCAGAGACGGTTCGGGCCGGGTGCACGACCGGGGCGCGGGGTTCTGCTGCAGGAGGCTTATATGGGCGATGTAGAGGGCAACGGCGGACGGAAGGTTGTTGGAAAGGTTTCCAGGTGCCGGCTTCCGCAGGCATGACGGGCATGGGGATGACGGCACGCCTGGTCGCAATCGTCCTGGGACCCAACTGAGGGTCCACCAGATACTCGATCCGTTG